TTTGCATCAATTGTGCTTCGTTCAGTTACGTATTGCTCTTGACGACGAACATGGGGGTACCTGTGACCTGTTGTTCCTCGAAAACGTGTATCCACGACGTCTGTTCAATACACCGTAGATGCCACCAACGGCGACTTCCAGGGGCACTGGGAATAAAATGAACTTTTGGTAAAACGCAGAGAAGAACTTTGTAGGTGAAATTGTCTCTGATCGTCCTTTGGTTATCGTCCATGGAAAACGTAACCATATGAAAGAGTTTAATGTTCCCTGCAGGCACACCTTGCCCACTCTATGAGTGCGAGAGGCACGGCCGGCTTAGTTGTGTGGGGTATTCAAAATTAACAAAGAAAACATACCTGGTACGCAAGGTAGACGGGCTCCATAAGCCTGGGCTGGTGATCATCAGACAAGCGTACAAACAACGACGAGTGGTTGGAATGATCAGCCACCGCCTCTATGGATGGCGTCGGCGTTAAGGTAACGTCGTAGATGTTGAAACGCACCGCACGCAAGTTCTCCTCAGAGGACACCTTCCTTGGACGCCCATTGGAAACCAGCGACGACAAGTCCTTGATTTCGTTAGTGTGCACCCTTGGTACAATCAAGCAGATGTTGGGACCTGTGCCGTCAGGGCGAAACTTACCAGATCTTACGAGCTTCGGTGATATCGTAGTCATGTACGCATCGCACAAGTAACGAGCGCGCGCACCTTGAAGTCATCACGTGGGTTGGCCTCGCCATTGTCAATATCTTCGGCTAAGCCATCGGGCATGGGAACTGAAGCCTTCACTTGAACATAACCTGTTATTATGGCGTTGGGCGTTTCGACGGAAGGCACATTTGGTCGGACTCACTGCGGCTGTCTCACATTGGGGCAACAGGGTCAGTTTCTTAATTGGAATGCAGGCGTGGTCTTCTTCCAAATCCTTCAAGCAAATTTCCAAGTGCAACTCACCAGCACCGGCAATAATGTGCTCACCAGACTCTTCAATGATACATTGCACCATAGGATCGGATTTAGCCAAACGCTTCAAACCCTCCACAAGTTTGGGCAAATCAGCTGGGTTCTTGGGTTCGACAGCAACACGCACAACAGGTGATACAGAGAACTTCATGACCTTCATGTTGTGGGCGTCCTTGAAAGTGGAGATGGTTCCGGTCTTCACCAAGAACTGATCAACACCGACAAGACCACAGATGTTACCGCATGGCACATCTTCAATGGCTTCAACGTAACGACCCATCATCAGGATGGTACGCTGAATGGCCTTCTCGTAGAGATCTTCCTTCTTGCCGGGAACGTAGTTGGGGCCCATGATGCGAGCCTTCTGGCCAGTAGCGACCTTGCCAGAGAAGACACGACCAAAAGCGTAGAATCTACCCTTATCGGAGGTCGGTACCATCTTGGACACGTACATCATAAGGGGACCGTTCGGGTCACAGGTCTTGACACCGACGGCGGCCTCATCGTCATGAGGGCCTTCGTACAACATCTCCATACGGTACTTTTGCGCGACGACCGGCGACGGCAAATGAATGGCAATCATCTGAAGCAAAGCTTCACCAGCAGGCAACCATGTCCTCATTACAACCTTCAACAGTTGCTTGCCATCCTTGTCCTTATCTTCGTGTTTCAGAGTGATGCCCAATTTCGGGAGCAACGCTTCGTACTCTTCTTTCCTAAAAGAATATAGCTCAAATTAGTTGAGGGTTCTAGAAGACATAAAGACTGAGAACGGTCTTAAAATACATCAGTTGGCCGTTCTTATTTGTCATCAATTTTTTTCAGAACAGGTCTGTGATTGAACAATCATCATATAAAATCTAATTCAAGAAAATAAATAAATTTTAAAACGCAATACATACTTGTAGTTCATGATGGAGTCAAACACCTTGTAGACGGGGTCCAAGATGTACATGCAGAAAGAACGTTTGTTATCGTCTTCCTTCTGCTTGGCCCACTTCTTGGTCTTGGCGTTGAAGAAGTTCTCACCCCAAAGACGGTTCATTAGCTTAACGACGTCGATCTTGAATTTCTCGGCGTACATCTCGGCGAATTGTTTCAGGGTAAAGGCCCAGCCGTGCAGACCGGAACCAAAACCAACTGAACCCTTGCTGGGGTCAACCTAATAAAAGCAATACACTTGAAATCATAACTAAATAATAAAAACTCACTAGAATTATTATGATTGTCTTCAAACTAGGAAATCGCATTGAACATAAATCGTCCAATGCAAGGCAAATGTTGAACGTTCACTATTCGAGCCCTTTCTTAATTGCAAAACATGGAATGTTTGAACAACCTGTATGAACTCGGTGCATGCTGGCAAGTAAAGTAAATAACTTACGCGAACTTCACCCATTGGACCGCTGTCGTCAGAGTAGGTGGCGATGATTACGTTAACATTTTCCACAATACGCTGGAAAGTCTGGTACAATTCCTCAGAGTCCAATTGCAGCTCAAGAAGAGCACGGTCCATCTTGTTCATGAACAAAATTGGCTTGATACGTTCGGCGATGGCCTGGCGCAGTACAGTTTCGGTCTGTACGCACACACCTTAAATAAAAAACAGCAATTAAACATCTGTCTATTAACAAAATAAATTAAAAGAAAAATATTTTGCGAGTGTAGCGATCATGTCGTAGCAAATGCCCCAACCGAACATAAAGATAGAGGTCCTGTGGCAGCGTTTATCCACAATCGCAAATATAATCTTCTTCCATAGCGCACTGCCTTTCTGTCTTCGCAAACGCAAGTGCAAAAATCGTACTTAACGCGTGCTACAGAAAAACTCAAATGTGCTGGAAGGTATGTTCTAATTTCCACAAGAAATGTTAAATAAAATCAAAATTACCAGAAACGCAGTCAACGACGACCAAAGCACCGTCAGTCACACGCAGAGCAGCAGTTACCTCAGAAGAGAAGTCAACGTGTCCGGGAGAATCGATCAAGTTGATCAAGAAACCCTTCACGTCCTTTTCGCGCTGGTCAGCGTTGGTGATGAACACCAAATCCTTATCTTCCAGTTCAAAGTACATGGAGATAGCGCTAAAATAAAATTGAAACCATTAGATTTCAGATTTGATATCTACACAAATTAAAAATTAAAAAAAAACGCAATAATCAGTTTGTTGTTATTTTATCTTCAATACTTTTACAGAACAGGTCTCTGAACAAATCATCATTTTATGAATTAAGTAAATTTAAAATGAAACTTACGTCGACTTGATAGTAATACATCTTTCCTGCTCATCCTTACGTGTGTCGGTAAAACGGGTCTCACCAGCCTTGGCACCAGCAATGATACCAGCCTTGGAGACCAAAGAGTCAGTCAGCGTGGATTTGCCGTGGTCCACGTGAGCAATGACGGACATGTTACGGATGTTCCGCTTCTTGTCCATCATGCCACGGATTTCGTCGACGGTAAAGTTAACCTGTAATTAGAAACCACATATTAGCAGAGGTTCAACAATATGGTTGATAATATCGACATGCCGACGGAGCATGCAGCATGTGTGCGGTTGCAGCTTATCGATGCGTCCATAGAAAACTCTCCACATAGAAACTCACCATATTTATGAATTAAATGTAAAATATATCAGACACAAAATATAAACCGTGTTAAAATTTCAAGTGCCACGAGTAAAGCTGACGTTCGAAAGTATATCGTTCACAGACGACTCGAATATGATAAACAGCGCGATGCCGATGCAGTTCCATATTTATAGCCTTCAACGAGTTTCGCATTCTTGTGCAACATCACACAACGCGTCGATTTTTCGCGAAACAAAGTGCCATCTGGTACAAATACGCACACGCATCGACGCAGTGAAACACGCCGCACATTTCTGTTGTGTTATATATTGAAAAAAATACTTGCCATCTTGGATGTTCCTTGATTCGTTTAGCACAGTCAAAAACACGAACGCCAGTTATGGCGCACAGCCCGTGAAAAGGAAGAGCCAAGCTAGAACTCTTGCCACGAAGTGGACTAGCTGGATGAGGTCGCCACTAGTCGCAATGTCTCGACCAATGAGCGACCGAGATTCGATGACCTACGAAGCAAACGAAACACGACTTTTAGAGTGGGAATAAGAAGAGCAATCGTTTGCAAGATGCAACGAAATCGGTTAAAATTAACCGAGCGGCGTTATGCACTGATCTTACCTTCAGTACGGACGGATCTTAGATAAAGAGGGTTTGAAAATTGTTGTGCGGCCTTTTATATCTTCCCTTCCAAACTAGGGTATTTATTTCACGCATGTGCAATGCCTCATTGCTGCAAACAATGCAACATGTTGAAATATAGTTTTAGTATTATATTATCGCAAGTAATATCGCATAACAACATGCAATTTTTATTTTAACTACCAACGAGAAATAAGTATGGTGTAAAAATATCAATTAAACTGAAGTTATACAAAAGTACTATTCAAAAAGCAAATAAATATTTGTACGTTGATGTGGAATAGGCAACCAAATATACATAAAATGAGAAATAGAAAATATATCTGAAAATTCAATTTTATGAGAGAATTAATACAAAATATTCATAATTCATTGATTAATAATGTTACTATCAACAAATCATTATAGTCATTATATAGAGGATTCACTCATTTATATTGATAAAAATTCTTTTATACACTAATTATTTCCTTTTTCATCAAAATATAAATTTGTACATATAATATCAAGAAAAATATTGAAATAAGTATGCAGTTATAACTAGTTGAGTATTGTAAAAAACAATAGTTTTAAAATTATATCATATGTATGTAGAACAAATATTTTACAGTCTTGTTTAAGTTAAACATTAATAACGACATATCTTACAGGTCTTCTAATAAATACTCTTTAAGAACATTAGGAAGAGGCAGGTTCGGCACATCTTTCTGCGTGATGCGCAACAAAATAGCTTCCCTGCACGCGGATTGCAAACTTCGCACTCCGTACAACTGAATTATCCGTACTTTTTTCGTGGCCCCATACACGTCCACCACAACATAAAGTGGTGCTTCTCTGTAGGGAATCTTTGTTACACAAGCTCCCTGATCCTCCCCATTGATAATATAATGCATGTTTGCTAGACTATCAGATGTTGGAATGTACATTACACCAATCCTACTGTAGATATCTGTTGGTAGAATTTGTTTTGAAGGTTTCAATAAACTCAGTGGCACTGTGCCTCTGGATGTCCGGATTCGATTATCATGCGGGCTTAGTTTAAAGCCGGGGTCATACGTGAAAAAATGATTCCAAGCCTTTGAAATACCATATATCCATGTTGTGCCTCTGGAGGATAAATCTGGCAGAGCAAACCGCGGCTCCACTTTGTCTGTGAACACCGTATCGGGGTCTAATTGGGTAAGACCAATACGCAGATGACCACTCCAGCCGCTCTCGATTTGTTCGATTTCAATCACAAATATTTCACCAGGCAAGAGTGGTTTCTCGCTGAATGTGAGCGCATTTGCGAAACTTTTCTTACGATATGCGACTGTGTTGTCGTGTGTGAGGAGGATGTTTTCACCGTGGTATGGATGAAATCGGGTGACCGTCACCCGGTCGGACATCGTTACGAATGCTGCAAATTGAAATTGACGACACGGTTTATCACGTCACATTAATTAGTTGATATTTCGGTGGAAAACACTGTGTTCCATTTTTCAAACTTGCAATATTGCGTGTTGTTCTACAGTCAACCATAACATAACCTCTTTACTTTCACTTGACTAGGCTGTCAATATGAGAATAAGGAAGGAGCAGAAGATGAAGATTACAAAACAGGAAAAGTTTTGCGTCAACATGAAAGATGATATATAATTTGATGTAAATTGGAAGTTATGCCAGCTTTTTTTGTTTGAAATTGTTATAAAAACCAGCAGTTTTGTCACTTTTTAGATAAGAATTTCAAAATGCTTTCAAAATAAGCTTATTTGTTAATATCATCCGCCATTTTGATAAGAATAGCAACAAACACAAAACATAGGCAAAAAAATGTTATAATAAATATTGACATAAGTTGTTATCAACGCATGGCATCAAAGTACCACCGATAGAGGGGGTACACAGTAAGATAAGCAAATAAATGAGAATTCAAAAATATTCAGAGTTACGAGTTAAAGTTTTGTCATATCGCATTATCCGAATTAATTCGCATTAGCTTTTGCTGTACAAGCACACACATTAATTCCTAAAGTAGCCTAAAATGTAAAATTGAGGATGACGATAATTTTCGCATTTAAAACTTATTAGCGCATTTACCCTAACGCAAAAATTACAATTTTGTATTCCCCGAAACAGTTTAAAAACCAAAAATTACAAAATAAAGCTGTTCAATTAACTAAGTAAATAAACAATTTTTTTTTTCAATACTGTATTAATGTGGATTGGGAAATTCACCACTCTAATCTGGAGCACTTAAAAGCGGTTGTTATTTTGAAGATTACTGAAAGCATCGTCTCGCCTCTCTTCAAGTGTGAACACACGCGGTGATTACTCGTTTGTTGTGAGTTTGGACTTTTTAAGTCCTGACGGCGTCATCAGGCGCGAGTCTGGCGTGTCGCATCGCACCGTTTATCAAGTTAAACGAATTAAAGCGCTCGCCGAATGCACTCAGACGAGCGTGGCGCGATTGCAATAAAACTTGAATCGAAAAAAGTGCGCGTGTCCATGGTATCCGTGTCCATTTGATCCTGCAACATGGCGTCGGCGAAGAATGAAGACGAGCAGCCGAATTACACATTGGCGGAGAAACTGCGCATCGTCTTGACCAACATCACCGTCGAGCCGATAATCATATGCTATGTGATTCCAGGCGTCTTGGGCAGCCTCGCCATGCAACAACTTTACCTCGAAAAAGCCTGTCGAGTCGATCTCGCAATGAACGAGACCATCTGCGACGCCATTTCCGTGCACAACTCAAGCGGATATCAAAAGGAAGACGAAGCGGAAGTGCAGAAATACGTCGCTACTATGTTTTCATACAAAAATGTTCTTCAATCAGTGATACCATCAGTGTTGTTGCTGTTTATTGGATCGTGGAGTGACAGATACAACCGGCGTAAACCATGGATCATGCTACCATTAGTCTGTGAGCTTACAACCGTGATGGGATTCTGGTTAACAACATATTTCTTCTATGAAATGACCGTGATTTACAACGTGATCATCGATGGCATTGCACCGGTGATGTCCGGGGGTGGATATGCGTTTGGAATGGCATTGTATGCACACATCAGTTGTATTACCACGGAAGCGACTAGGACCGTACGAATTGGGGCGGCGAATATGTTGTGGAGTCTTTGTTATACTTTGGGAATGGCTTTAAGTGGAGTTGTGTATATTCAACTAGGTTTCTACGGGGTGTACATTATTTCAATTGTTATATATCTAACCGGGTTGTACTATGGGCACACGTGTGTAGAGGAAGCACCATGGCCAGAAAAATCCCAAGACGAAGTAGAAACTAGGAAAAATCAAAAGAAGAAAAACTTTTGTTTGATTTTTCAATTGGAGTCTAGTAAAAGACACTTTTAACGTTGCATTCAAAACTGGTGAGCGTAACAGAAAGGCTAGGATTTTAGCTATTATGGTTTTGGTTATGGTTATCATAGGACCCCTTCACGGTGTGCATTTTGTGCTAGAAACTGCAATAAGTTGTTTTATGTGATTAAAATTTTAGGTGAATTTGTTGTGTGGTACATGTTCGTACGTTACACTTTTCATTGGAACGAAATTGAGTATAGCATTTTCTGCACGTACTATTCCATCGTACATATTGTTGGTAAGTGACAACCAAAAACTTTTACAGATATCTGTAAATTAGTATTACTGTGGTGTAATTTAGGAACCGTGTTTGCGTTGATGTTCTTCTCGAAATACTTGAAGTTAGACGATTCACTCTTAGGCATGATTTCGAGCATGAGTAAAATCCTCTCATCGTTCGTCTATGCATTCGCCCCAAATTCAACAATATTTTACTGCGGTAAGTAGCGCTCATAACATAACCTGAAAGCAATAACCATCAAAATAATGATTTAATTCAAGGTGCAATAATTGAAATGTTTAATGGCACATCATTCATTGCCATGCGTTCGATAATATCAAAACTAGTGCCGGTTGATGAATTAGGCAAGATTTATTCGTTGTTTGGCTTGTGTGAAGCCCTTATGCCTTTGGTCTACGGCCCTATGTACAGCTACATCTATAAGAATACGATAAACTTCATGCCGGGCATGTTTTTCATCGCCGGCGGCATCCTAACCGTGCCATCAGTAATAATGTTCGGGTATGTGGGACATCCTTTTCACGTTTTTCATTGTGCATCAATTGCTGATCAGCGCGACTAATTGGTCACTTTCAGTTGGTTGTACTTCGAGCACAAAAGGGACTTGCGGCTCGATGCAGAAAAGAAAAACGACGAAGCGACGGCAATGTTGGAGAAAACATCAAATAACGGTAAAACAAATGGCACCTCGAATGGCATTGCGAAACCAACATCTACATGATACCTACCAGAATGTTATTTTATTATTAATTCATATATTTGCGTAAAAATATTTTATTTATTTATTAAATGCATTAAAATTGTTTAAGATAACTATTTGTCTATTATTTTTTTGCATTTACACGCCATCATAACTGTTATATAATGATAATTATTGTTAATGGTCAATTACCAAGATGTTCCTGCGAATCAACTTTTAAAAAATGCGCATCATGTGTTTTTTTCATAACAATGTGTATCCGCCGTAATGACAAATTACTGTTTGCTTTGACCGAAAAGCAGTAGTTAAGCCAAGCATGTGCCAACTTTAAGCCATGTTAAGCCGTAATCTAATTTCGAGTCTGGCGTCGCGCCCGCCTCTGCGATCTGCGCTTCTTACCAGCTTATCATTTTATAACTGCGTAACTTGTTTATCAGCACTCGAAAAATGAATAGATTTTAATCGCACACAACTTGTGTATTAAGCAATCATGGAAACCAGTGAATTATCGCATTTAAATCAAGTGAAGAATGAAACCGTCGAAAATGGCAACAAACCGGAAAGAGTTTACACATTCAGTGAAAAATTCAAAATGGTGGCGACAAACATCACCGTGGAGCCGATCATGCTCTGCTACGATATTCCGCATGTGGTGGCATCCTTGGCAATGCAACACTTAAATCTTGAGAAAGCCTGTCGTGTTGATCTCAATTATACAACATCGATTTGTGATGCGATGGCTGTGCACAACGAGACAGGTTATGCCAAAGAAGACGAAGCCATTGTGCAAAAATACGTGGCATCCGCAATGGCATATCGTAGTATCCTGCAAAGCGTCATACCAACAATCCTAGTTTTATTCTTAGGATCATGGAGTGATCGCCATCAGAAACGTAAACCATGTATAATCCTACCATTATTCGGAGAAGTTGTATTAGTACTTGGATTAGCAATAAGCACATACTTCTTTTATGAAATGCCAATTATCTACAATGTGTTCATCGAAGGACTGCCACCTGCTCTGACAGGAGGTGCTCATTCATTAGACATGGCCGTTTTTGCTTATATCAGCAGTATAACCACCTTGGAAGAACGCACAGTGCGTGTAGGCGCTGTGAATTTAATCATTACCGTCGCTGGGACAATTGGTTCGGCAATTTGCGGTGTACTCTACTACAAACTTGGTTTTTACGGTTGTTATGTATTAACAATATCCGCGTACACCTTCGGAATTTTTTACACCATGATACGCATCAAAGATACAAAAATTGATGAGGAAATTACTAATGAACCAAAAAAATCTTTTTTGGTTGACTTTTTTAATCCTGAAATTGTCAAGGATACCTTTCAGGTGGCGTTTAAAGAAGGTGAACGTAATCGACGCAAACGAATCTTAGCTATTATGTTGCTAGTTATTGTTATCGTCGGGCCTATGATTGGAGAACACAATGTTTTATACATGTTTACAAGATATCGATACGAATGGGATGAAATTGACTATAGTATTTATAATACTTTTTATGCAATTGTCCATATAGCAGGTAATTATTATCAAAATATGCTTTTTAAGCCTTTATAATTAATTTTCTTGCAGGTGGAATTTTTTCATTGATGTTATTCTCAAAATACTTAAAATTCGACGACGCCATGCTTGGAATGTTGTCCAGCACAAGTAAAATCCTTGCATCGCTAGTATTCGCTTTTGCTCCATCGCCTACAGTGTTCTATATCGGAGCAATCGTGGAAATGTTTAATGGCTCATCATTTATAGCCATGCGTACAATCATCTCGAAGCTGGTACCAGCAAACGAGCTAGGGAAAATTTATTCGATATTCAGCGTGTGTGAAGCGATAACTCCTTTGATTTACGGTCCAATGTACACATCTATTTACAAACTAACCATTGATGTTGTACCGGGGCCTTTTTCCTTGCTGGTGGCCTACCACAATAAAGCGTCATACCAACAATCCTAGTTTTATTCTTAGGATCATGGAGTGATCGCCATCAGAAACGTAAACCATGTATAATCCTACCATTATTCGGAGAAGTTGTATTAGTACTTGGATTAGCAATAAGCACATACTTCTTTTATGAAATGCCAATTATCTACAATGTGTTCATCGAAGGACTGCCACCTGCTCTGACAGGAGGTGCTCATTCATTAGACATGGCCGTTTTTGCTTATATCAGCAGTATAACCACCTTGGAAGAACGCACAGTGCGTGTAGGCGCTGTGAATTTAATCATTACCGTCGCTGGGACAATTGGTTCGGCAATTTGTGGTGTACTCTACTACCAACTTGGTTTTTACGGTTGTTATGTATTAACAATATCCGCGTACACCTTCGGAATTTTTTACACCATGATACGCATCAAAGATACAAAAATTGAGGAGGATATTAACGCTGAACCAAAAAAATCCTTTTTGGTTGATTTTTTTAATCCTGAAATTGTCAAGGATACCTTTCAGGTGGCGTTTAAAGAGGGTGAACGTAATCGACGCAAACGTATCTTAGCTATTATGATACTAGTTGTGGTTATTATCGGGCCTATGATTGGAGAACATAATGTTTTGTATATGTTTACAAGATATCGATATGAATGGGATGAAATTGACTATAGTATCTATAATACTTTTTATGCAGTAGTCCATATAGCAGGTAATTATTATTAAAAATGCTAATAAATTAACTATTAACTATTTTAATAATGATTTATGTTGCAGGAGGAATTTTTTCATTGATGTTATTCTCAAAATACTTAAAATTCGACGACGCCATGTTGGGAATGTTGTCCAGTACAAGTAAAATTCTTGCATCGCTAGTATTCGCTTTTGCTCCATCGCCTACAGTGTTCTATATTGGAGCAATCGTGGAATTGTTTAATGGCACATCATTTATAGCCATGCGTACAATCATCTCGAAGCTGGTACCAGCAAACGAGCTAGGGAAAATTTATTCGATATTCAGCGTGTGTGAGGCGATAACTCCTTTGATTTACGGTCCAATGTACACATCTATTTACAAACTAACCATTGATGTTGTACCGGGGGCCTTTTTCCTTGCTGGTGGCCTACTCACAATACCATCTGTTCTAATATTTTAGTAAGTAAATAAACATAAACATAAAAACTGTAAAAAATTACTAAAAATCACATTTTAGTTGGTTACATCTAGAAAATCAACATGATATTAAAACTGGTGCCATTCCTAAAACTGAAGATAGTAAAAAAGTTAATACTACAGAATTAACACCAATTGCCAATGAAAAAAGCAACTAAATAATATAATCAAAATAAAATCATGTAAAATGCTTTAACAACTTGGATGTGGATGATGATTCCCGGCACACTTTTCGATGCGTCTCAATACGATTTGGAAAGAAAGTCCTGCCGCACTTTTCGCACGGAATTAACTCGTTGAGATGGTTTTCCCAAATGCGATGAAACGTGCCAACAAAATCAACACCACCAGACGCTAACAAACAAAACAAACAGTTATCATTTACTACAAAAAAAAAAACCTAAAACATGTTATTAGTTTATTAATACCTTATTATTATTATTGTTTACTTAAAATTTCAAGTTAATGTTATGAAAAATATATATTTTAATCACCCGCTGATAAAACTACATACAAACACAACCGAATCAATTTTTTCGTCTTCGGAAACAAAAAAAAAGTCTTATCGCTTCGACACCACATACGAGTATTAACCAGATTACATTCACAGCAAACTTATTGTTTAATTAACTGTTGTATTATGTAGTATTAGTATTATTAGTTGTAGTAGTAATATTGCCTATTTATAATAAACGTTAACGTCGTCTTAGTTTTGTATTGATAGTCAATAGTCACAATGTAGGATATCACGTGGCGTGGTTGTGGTAGTGGTGCATGTTAATCGCATGTCGATGAAAATTGATGTGGTTTATGTTGGCGGCCCCTTGCAGCTACGCTCGTGCACATCGACACGATCAGGGTTGAAAGTGCGTTTGCACAGGTGGCACGGCACCAGTTGGTCGAGATGCGATTGCCAGTTGGCTTCCTCGGTTGCGAGAAAGTCGATTTTACCATCGGCTGCAAAAACGCATTTTTCTTTTGCCATCTAACACATCCTCAATAATTAAATAATGAGTGCGCTTATGAGTATGAATTATTAGTGATTGTGTGAAGGTTCAATGACCTTCATCGATCAGCAATCCTTGAGGGTGTATCCTTGCACCCTGGCAATAAACGTCATAACTATGTTTGAAATATTGATTATTTTCGACAGCATTTATAGAAAAATAAAATCAATACGTTTGTATTATTCAGTGTCGGATAATTCAAGTTGATGGTCAAAAAAATGCTTCATTTACGCTTTTTTACTGCGCTGAATAAACATTTTCTATATGTATGTGTCATGTTTAAGTACGTTGACCCTATCATAATTTCTCCACGCTTTCTTTCGGCTTGTAAGAAAACTTTACGATGTATTTCCTTACAACGTACGACCTGGTTTTATGATTGCTGCAATTTGGTGAAAATACTAGTAATTATTACGACTTGAGCGATTTTAATACGACCCGATTAGTTTTCACCCGCTTGTGCAGTTTATTCTTTAGTGTAAGTGTGTAAGCACCTGTTTTTATAGATGTAGATGTAGATGATGATGAGGATGAAGTTTTCGTCATGATGGAAAGCGGCTCAACCAAGCGCAACTTACGTGTGAATTTAATATCTGGTTTCGGTGGTGTTGGCCGCCGCTTCTCAATCGGTAGTTTATCGTTTTCGGCGCGCCATTTTTTAAGACACTGTGGTTCGTGGATGTATATCGATGCGACGCCAAATAACCGACCACAAAGGTAACAAGGAAACATGTGAGGTTTTTTATCGGTAGATGATGGACGCTCTTCAGATGTCGCAGCTTCTTTCATTTCTTTTTCTGTAAATTTCATAGAAATAAAATAAAATTTGTTTAAAAGGATTTTTGCACCTTTTTGTAATTTTTTAAGGCACTGTGGTTCGTGAATTTTCACAGATTTTGATCCAAACATTTTTCCACAATGTGGACATGGCACCAGTCCAGGTATCGGCTGCGGTAAGGTAGTCTTATGTGATAAATCACTGATTGCCGATACACTCGACGATTTCTGAAATATCAATAATGTCAACATTACAAATTACATTCTAATATTTCATCCTTGAAAGTAGTAGAAAATAGCGCATCATGGAAAAACACCAACTTCTTGGATTAACTCCAACTAAGCTCGACAAACGTACAAATTGAGTAAACATCACGATGCGATAACATGTCATAATGACAATATGTTATACAGTACCTTGAATATAATATATTACACAATATTTTACCACAAAATAACATAATCCCCATGTAAATTTAAATCTTTTAGACACACAGTTAATTTCTGAGCGCGCGTTTTCTTGCCGGTCGCTATCAACACCCGATGCCAATAAACAAATGAAAAAACAATATTAACAAACAATTGATAGTGAGCTATCTCTCCGCTGAGAGGCGATAATTTCTTTGTAGCGTCTCGCGTTTTTGAATGAACTGAGCTCAAACAGCGATCACTGTGCGCTCATCCATTAAACAAATGCACGTGCGTACACAAAGCAACTAAAACCATCCAATAACTGAATAAAAACTCAATTAAAATGGATTTGGCGAAGAGTATAAGCATGGAGGCAATACCCTCCAAGGATATGGACGCTGAGCCAGCTGTACCGGAACCAGGTTTGACCGCGTGCCAAAAATTCCGCTTGGTTTTCAGTAACATCACAGTGGAGCCAATCATGGTTTGTTATGTCCTACCGAATGTAATGGCTTCCCTGGCGATGCAGAATTTAAACTTGGAGAAAGCCTGCCGGGTTGATCTCGGGTATGATACGGATATATGTGACGCAATGGCGGCGCGTAACAAAACAGGTTATTCAAAAGAAGAAGAAGAATCCGTGCAGAAATTGGTCGCCACTGCAATGGCCTGCAAGAATATCATACAAAGTCTCTTGCCTTCTTTGTTATTAATGTTTCTTGGGTCATGGAGTGATCGAAATAATCGTCGGAAACCGTGTATCATGTTACCGATTGTCGGGGAAATGGTAACAGCGACTGGGTTTTTAATTTGCACGTATTATTTCAACGAGTTGTCGATTGTTTTCAATGTGATTGCTGAGGCAGTACCACCTGCATTGACCGGTGGATGGTTTTCAATGTTTATGGGAGTTTTTGCTTATATAAGTGGTGTTTCCACCCTGGAGACAAGAACGTTACGCATAGGAGCCGTGAATTTGTTTAGTAATGTCAGCGTTACCATTGGTATCGCTTTGAGCGGGATCCTGTACAAACAAATCGGTTTTTATGGAGTTTTTAGTTTAGCTCTTTCTGCTTACATAATCGGCTTTTTGTATGGAATGTTAAGAGTGAAAGAAGTTGAATTACCAGCTGAGCAAGTAGAAGATATCGAATTTGTTAAAAAAAATGAAGAAAACGTTAAAAATGTGAAACAAAGAGGCTTTTTAGCAGATTTCTTTGATATTAAACATATCAAGGACACATTTGCAGTTGCATTCAAAGAAGGTGCCCGAAATAGAAAAAAGCGTATCGGTATTATTATGATTTTGGTTATGGTCATCATAGGACCTCTGCATGGTATGTACCTTATCAAGTGTCAATACTTAATTATTCTAGTTTTATCTTGACATATTGTTTATTGGTCATTTTATCCATGTTTACAGATAATTACTGTTTGTAAACATGGATATTTACTAAGAAACAAAAGGAAATCCAGTTCTTTCTTATTATTATTCTTTCTTTCGACTTATGTTCCACTGGTCTATATTATTATCAGCAACTGCGTATATTCGTGTTTATGTTTACACTCTTCAAACTGTTTGATCTTTTTCCAGGTGAATTAAACGTCATGTACCTGTTTGTACGGTATAAGTTTCAATGGGACGAAATTGATTACAGTATCTACAGTACATTCACATTTTTGGCACATTTAGCTGGTAATTATTATAAGTAATAATTACTTATTTTTAAATTGAATCATATATTTTAGGGACAATATTCTCATTGGTAATTTTATCTAAACACCTCAAAATGGACGATGCGCTCCTAGGAATGATTTCCAGCATGAGTAAAATTCTTTCTTGTTTTGTTTATGCCTTCGCGCCAACTCCTTCTATATTTTATTTGGGTGCCATTGTGGAGATGCTTAATGGAACGTCGTTTATTGCTATGAGATCAATTATATCAAAACTTGTACCGGGTGATGAACTAGGTAGGAAATTAATGTTTCCTATTGATTAATTTTTAATATCATTTTTTCTTGAAGGGAAAATTTATTCCTTATTTGGTGTTTCGGAAGCTTTAATGCCACTGCTGTACGGTCCAATGTACAGTTTTATCTATAAACATACGATAAGCTTCCTTCCAGGCGCATTTTTCTTGGCTGGTGGATTTTTAACCATTCCATCTGTTCTTATTTTCATGTAAGTAATTATTAATAGACGTTTTTAGTTCATTATTACTTTTGTCGCTATAATATTAATATTATTTTACTTTTTAGTTGGTTATACAACGAACATAAACGCGACGAACGAGAAGAAGCAATGAACAAAGGCCAAGAGATGAAATTACTACTTCTAGTTCCACCCTCAGAGAATGTAAAACACAACAATAAACATCCATCATAAAATGTAGTGCATCATTCAATATTTTACACGTAATATTAATAAATATGTATAACTACTATTAATATTAGATGCATATACTGAAAAGTTTATAAAAATATAAAATATATTAAAAGGAAATGTACAAAAGTTTCAAGAAAGTTAATATTTCTCAACGCCACCGACGTTCCTGATAAAATAATAATTAAATGAACCATAATAAAGTTAATCAATACTTAATACTTACAACAGGACCTCTTTGGGGTTCTTTACAGCTGCGAAGGTGAACTTCCAGCCGATCGGGAAGGAATGTTCGTTGGCAATTTTTACACGAAATTAATTGAGCCTGCAGGCAAAGAAAAAAAAACAATTACTTAATCCATTTGCCATATCTAAGTACGAGTATGATAGTTTCCTCTGCCAACTAATCAAATATAAAAGCAATTTATGACCTTATTTAATTACGATTTTCATTATGTGCGCATTTTTCCTTGTAACACAAAAGATAATACTATATATTTATGCAAATATGCCCTTTCAACTTCAACATTTTACCCTAACATGGGAATAATTTATTGATTTCTGTGATTTACCATATTCATAGCACTATAATAACCTTGTTGGTTATCAATCTTGGGTGCAACCTCGAATGTGCAACCTACAAATCGCTTTAATTATCATACATTATCGGAACCCAGCATAGAACGTAAACATTTCTCGTAAAAAGTCATACATTTCCCCAAAAAATAAGTGATACACCAAAAACTAATTTTCTGATTAGAATCATACTGACAGTCAAACATTAATGACCTAGCCCTGGTCATAAAACCTTGTCTAAAAGTATAATGTCGGTCATCTATAAGAAACAAACAAACACACAGCGCGATAATGACCAAAATATTGTCCATTGTCGCACCCTCCCCGATCAATTCCACATTCACCCTTTCTCAATAAATAATGCCTTCTTTTTTCCTGTCCACTATCCTGTTGTTTAAATTGTCGTATGACGCACATTAAACGTCTTTTATTTTCGTCGCATTCGGCGTCTCACGCAAGAATAAATTATTCACATAGACAATGCATTAGTGCTTTTCAATTCACTATATCCACACACATCAATTGAAGAGAAATTTTAAAAGCAATAAAGACTAAATTATAAACAAATGGCAGTGAAACTAATGTGAAGCGACGGTTAAGTTCAAAGTTAATCGAACAAAAATTGATTATTCGCATAGACGGCGCTCTTTTTTATTAGACAATTTGTCGGGCTCATTATTTCTTTGTCCTTTGTGCATCGCATGCACGTGGACTGCTTTCATTATCATATCATTGACATTCAGTATAAAAGTATACACTATGAATAGGATTCTATTCATTCTATAGTCAACGCAACCTTATAAAATGTCAGTTTTTTTTATTAATTACTCTAAAAATATTTGTGATATTTTAATAAATCTTTCAGTAATTGAATCAGATATAAATTCTTAATCAGAATGTGCTTAAACAATAATATTTAGATTGTTATACTAAATGTTATAAACAAAACAAATTGATTTTGAAAATATTTTTTATCTTGACCTAATTTCCTCGATAACTTTTGATAAAATCATCCAATAAATAAAATCTAAACATACTTAGATAAAGAATTTAATTCCAGATGAATTTGTAAAGTTTCATTAATAAAAGTTTAATACTTTTCGATTAATTATATAATAACTGAACTATCGCAGTAAACCCACCGTAACTATTTAAAATAAACAATTTCTATTTTAATAAAAACTCTTGGTATATTTTTTATGTTTCTCCATTAAACTCACACTTTTGTTGTGATAAAAAAAAAGCGACATTAGATAAGGTCGCATGTAGGTAATCGTTAATCGATTTTAAGTACGCGTATGAGTATAAACCTTATATGAGCACCTTATATTTATTTGCCCCAATATATTTATTATTGTGTAATATGCTGTCACTCTGGAATAAAACGAGTGATACATTAGTTTACAAGTACCTGTGCGGATTCCCATGCAAATTTATTCCATTCCTCTTTCGTCATTGGCGTGTCAGGTTTGATCGGCCGCTTCTTCTGCAACTGTCGCGGTAATTTTCGATTTTCACGCTCCCATTTCTGCAAATATACAAGGAGAACTATGCAAATAGTTATACCAACTAGTTTAAAGTACCAGAAGTCAAGAAATAAACAACCTTTGACGTTTGCAAGTTGAAAAGTATTTGTAAATTGAGCAGAGTTACAGAGTTAGATAGAACGGAAGTAGATGTGCGGTTCCTTCCGGCCCCGTGGCCTGGGTTCTATGTAGTTGTAGAAAATCGGATAGATTGTTGAAAAGGGTGCAAATGTTTGTAGTTCACTAGGTCATAGGTCAAATTGAAAAAAAGTAATGAGCAAAAAACTTAAAGGTTGCAAAAAAATTAATTCACGTTGACGTTTTAAGTGTGGAATTATTATTTGCGTTGCAATTTAGTGCTGTTTATGCATTTTATTGATTTTATCTTATACGTATTATAGTAAAGAAAGTTGTTGTGTTCAGATTAGGTTTCAACTAATATAATACCAAAACAATATAGCTAGCAACATCTAACTGCAGCAAAGTGAACTAAAAATAGAAATATTTATGTTCTACAATTCACGAAATCATGCACAAACAACACCTGCAACCTAAGTACACCGAGCAATTTAAATTCAGTACCGCGTTTATATAACACTAAAATTAAACTAAAACCAATAGAATCAATAGTCTGAAAACCGCTCTATACAATTTTCAAAGATCTATTATATCCTAACAATATGCACAATGCTGTTTGCTACAATAATGACCCAGGTAAAAAAAAACACTCCAAACTACAAAAGACGAATCCATCAAAAGCCATAATTAAAGGTAGCGTTACGTAAAAGTCGATTACTCTTTTTTTAATATCCTTACTTTGACTGAATGCCTTGATTTGACTACTGTTTGTTAGCATGCTAAAAATGGATCAAGCATATTCACACAATTCGAATTCATCATGTTGACATTAAAAAAAAACAACCGCATTTGCTCTAATTAATAAATAATAAGAAGGAAAATTCGTATTCGAGAGAGGTTATTGATTCTATAAGTGAGAAAACACGGTGATATAAGAATATGCTAATTATTTATACATGGGACCAGCTGATGATTTAAGAAGTCTAAAAATAGAAATATTACTAATGCAAAACGTTACCAATTGTTGTTTTAGAGTGGATATATAAATATATACACGAATCAATCATTTTAATGTATTGAGGTAACAATTGGGCAAAATATATTTATTCGGTGACCAAAAAGGGCTAAAAAGGCAAAATTCAGTTACAGAACTAAAAAAAGTATCCTGGTTGCCTATATTTTCAAAATTTTAAATATGTTAAAAAATATGGTTTTTAAATTTAGTGGGAACCTTTAAAATTAATATTTTTCTATCTTTTTAACGTTTTTCTGTTTAAATTTTGAAACTTGAAAACTAGAAATTTTAAAAAATCAGCTTGTATCAACATAGATATAATCGAAGTATAAATATTAAATTCCATAATGACATTGCAAGGGCGACTCATCGACCGCTTAATTATATAATCGATACACCCACCATTAAAATACAACCGCTGTTGTAATGCACCATTGCCCACGTAAATAGCAAGTTTAGAAAAAAAAATCAATTACTCACCTCTAAACATTTGGGCTCGTGCAATGGTAACGATGCCGTGCCAAATTCCCTCCCGCAGATGTAACACGTCAAAGTCCTTGGTCCTTTCGCCGATTTCACTTTACTCTCAATCGGCGCCATTTCTACAGGAATTTCGGGCGCCTTAGGCTCCAGTTTTGATTTGTATCGAATCGCCACAGGTTTCTGCACCGTATTTTTCGTCGGAATCTTAATTTCTAATTTTCTGATAGGCTTGAGCGGTGTTGTGGGATGGCTGTGAAATCGTTCTGGCGCGTCGGGACGTCCGCACGTCGTGCACGGCTCCGGCAATAGTTTTGTCGATATCGGTTTGACGCTGTTGCTAATACTCGCGTTATTGTTGATCTCGGCGTTGACGGCGGTGGCGCTCACGGCCGGCTTTCGCAATTTGCTTTTCGATGTGACTGATGTGACGATCCGAGGTGGCCGCAGGAGTGTCGCTGCTGTGCGCTTGCCGGTCTCGCGTCCCGACGATAAAGATTCGTCCTCCCAGCTTGCCTCGGCTTCGCTGAGTGTTTCATGCTTGCGCTGTTTCTTCGACTTTTCCCCCGGGGATTTTGTGACCGGTAAAGGTCGCCGGCGTTCTATAATCGCGGTGCGATGGCGAGATTTGCGCACAGTGGTCGCCGCACGGTTGATATTACTTAAAGGCACGCGACATATTGTCGCAACCGCCAAAAATTCCTTCCGAATAAGCGACATATCAATTTGGTCCATATATTTCGCATCTAATACTTGTGGACGCTCTAATGTCGCAGTCAATGGCCGCTCTCGATTATACTCATCATCGTTATCATCGTGTTCACTGTTTAATTCATTATTAATATTAATATCACTTGTTTTCTTCGGCCAGGTCTTGGTGAAAAGACGTAGGCCATGATTCGTTTTCATTTCGTCTTCGTTGCGATCACTTGATGCACTCTTATCACTTTTCTGTAACAACGGGAGCACTAAGAAAGTTTTCGGGGAATTGTCCAGCGCACGCTTGTAATTTCGCCAACGCATTTGGATTAGATGTAGAAAAAAAATTGAATCAAATCAAGATCACGCGAGCATTTGCATTCGAGGTTACTGTGATCACGCTTCGCGTGAATATTTCGATTATTACCGCGGACCACCGACGTGCGGCACCAACCGACTTCGGCGTGCGTTTGCCGCTGGTAAACTTACAATATCCATACAAACGGTAACCGATGGTAACCAGCACAAGGGGGTGGACGTAGTCACACGGTGTAGTCACAATCCCACCACCTACGACGACGCGCACGCGATTCATGACTAATGCCAGAGGACTACTTACTGTAAAAGGCATTTGGTCTTCTTCTGTCTCTGTATCAACGTATCAACGAGGAAATAAAAATCATTCAACCATGTTTCGATGCAAATAAGCTGTGGTATATAATGACGTCATTGAGCGCTGACAAACTCGGATCGAAGTTGCATTTATGGAGTAATCGAGTTTTGTTTGTTTTTCTATTACGTGTTCGGTTATAATAAGATCAACCGTGAACTTCCGATGTCATAAAAGACCCGCCCCGGTGAATTGAGATGACACGTGGATAATAATTTAGTAGTAGTTCAAAATTGGTCCAAAAATTATATGAAAATGATGGCGATGATGTTTCGAATGTCAATTTTGAAAGTGAAATAGACAGTTTGATTTGAATAAAAAATCAATCATTGATTGTTCATTTACATTATTGTGCTTTTTATTTACCTATAACCTTTATTTCTATTTGAGGATTAGAGTTAAATTTTATGTGCCACATTCGTATGCTTATATTAACTGATATTGCATATTAATATGCACATTCTATAAAATAAATTTCCGGTAAATTTACAAACATGCTGGTCTATGAGAATGTGGAATGTGTTGAGCGTAACAATAATAAGTTAATCATTGAAAGTGACAACCGGTATAAACAAATGTTTCGTAATTTTGCAATTTCAAACAAAGAATACTTTAATTTTTTTTTTTTTTGAAAATAAAAAGGTAAAACTAAAATGACGCTCAAAAATAAAATAACCTCTCTTTTGCTCAACGTAACGAAGATATAAGTAAGTAAATTCATTGTTTAATATCGATTAATACCGAAAACAATAACAACCTTGTTCCACATTTGCGCTATCGCCACGCCGGAAAACACTAAATGCATTTCCCTGTTAATTACGAGTATAATTATACGGACTGCGTAAAATTGCACCTGCAATTCATTCACTTGATACGCTCAGGTTAACTGTATGCTATTTTTTTGTTCCTCTAACAAGTAAATATTGTTCGTGCTTATACAATTGTTTAATGTGCAAAGCACAAATAAAGGAAATTTTTCCGAATTGCGTAAGTACCGTTATAGTCGTGATATTTTACTGGAATAACATTTTATTTAACAACAGTGCGTAAATTATTCCACGCACATTCCCGCATTTGTTTATTTACTGCGTCTGATCAACATCCAGGCATGCAGCGTACATTAATGTACGCATAATCTCTAATAGGTTTTTTATCACCGCATGTCGGCGACGAAAAAATTTCAAAAATAGCCAACGCATTGTTTAAAACAGACAAAATCGCGCGCGTCCTTGATTTAAAAAGATAATTACTCACAAATAAACGTTAGCTCATCAGACAAATAAAAAATACGTATATTACCATGTGATGATTTTAATTAGCACCAACTTATACGGAATCGGCGACATTGTTATGACTTATGAATTAATTATATACGCAAATAAATATTTTTCGTTGGTAATCTACATTCCCTATGTTCATAAAAGTTGACCATCAAATTGTATCAATTAACATTCAATTGAATTGTTGAATCGTTACCCAATGTTGCACAATAATAATAATACTAATAATAAAATTCTGTCTGCCGCATACGTAGTTTGTGGCCATAATGAAAATTAACATGCAGACGTTTATTTTTCAGGCTCATTATCGCGGCATTTTTTCCAGATTGCGTTTCATGTCGTGAATAAACATACTTATCTATTTATAGTCGGCGCGTTCAGTTGTTGTCCGACTTGTGGCTCGTGCGCATCGCACTATAAGTGCGCGATTAGTGCTTGTTCATTGATTGTCGATAGTGCGTGCTATATCAAACCACGAGACTTGATCGCAAAGTGTTTACTTATACCAATTTATCGCAATCATGTCGAATTCTGCATCGTTGGCATATGGTACGTTTGATGCGCGTCCTTCGCACAAGGATCGCTTCAGTAACATTTGGAAAGAATTTTCGCATGTGCCCGCATTAGCCCTGATAGTTTTAATGCTTTGGGCAGTTGGTTATGCGTTATTCGGCAATGAAATTATTGGAATTCATAGCCAACTATTTAGTTTAGCGGTAAGTAATTATATAAAAACTATTTTGGCGTCAATAACTGATTAAATATGCTATGCTTTAGGTGCTGTTTATATCAGCAAAAATAGTTGGGTATATTTTTGGTCAAGCACGCTTACCACCCATGATTGGCATGTTGTTAATGGGAGTTCTCTTAAGAAATGTAAACTTTCTTGAAATTTCCGGCGGATATCGAAAGTTTGCAGCCGTTCTTCGACAATTAGCACTGGTAAACATAATGCTTCCAGCCGGTTTAGGACTAGATCCCAAGGCGCTGAAGAAACTTACCGGGATGATTCTCAACTTATCGATTGTTCCCGTCGCTGCTGAAGTAGGAGCACTCACGTTGACAGGGTACTACCTCCTGGACTTACCACTCATCTGGTCGGCACTTCTTGGGTAGGGCCTACGTGTAAGTTAACTAAGAACAACAAGATGTTGAAAAATAGTATGCCTGGTTCCCGGGCAGACTATTGTTGGCAGCGGTCTCACCGGCGGTGATCATTCCATGCCTCTTCCAACTGCAAGATGAAGGATACGGGGTCGACAAGGGTATCCACACGTTGGTCATCGCGGCGTCTACGTTCAACGACATCATTTGCATCGCGTTGTTTGGAATACTTATTGGGGTGATCTTTAGCACCGGTAAATCACTTTCAAATAACTCTTAATTTGTTTTTAAAAAGTAAAACATACTACCTATAATTATTTGTGTAGGTACTCTATTAATGCAGGTATTGCACGGACCGATTGTGTTGGCTCTCGGGTTGACTTACGGAATTATTTGGGGCTTGGTGTGTTCCTACGTACCGAATGTAAAGCACGAATATGTCGTAACCCTGAGAACTTTACTTTTGAGTTCTGGATGTGTACTATCCGCTTTGGGAAGTGATGCTATCGGTTACGGTGGAGCAGGTGCTCTCGGATGTATCGTAGCTGCGTTTGTTGCAAGTTTAAAATGGCGTTCCGAAGGTTGGGACAATAATGTAAGTAAACTCATAACTATAACTAAAAAACAATGTCTAAAATGTTAAAACACAAAATTATTGCAGAATCCTGTGAGAATGAACTTTATCTTGCTGTGGAAGTTCTTCGAACCGATATCATTCGGTTTAATCGGCATGGAAATCAACTTTTCTGTCCTTGAAGGTGATACAGTCTTGTACGGCACAATCGCAATGACCGCCTCACTGATAATACGAATGGTTGTTTCGTTTGCATGCACGCAATGCACTAACTTCAATTTGAAGGAACACATATTCGTCGCGACGTGTTGGATACCAAAAGCTACGGTTCAGGTAAACAAATCGTAATAAAATTAAATTAAAAACAAAATATTCACTATTTTTCATTAGGCCGCATTGGGACCAATGGCTTTAGACCTCGCGCGAGACAACGACGACCCTACATTTACCACATTCGCGAATACAATGGTAATCGTAGCGGTGATGTCAATTTTAATCACATCACCAATCGGCGCTATACTTATCATGCGTTTGGGTCCAAAGTTTCTGCACAAAAGCGAAGGAAACTTCCTGGACAACATTCCAGCGGCTGCTCCTCAGGAAAACCACGAAACTGCTACTTAAGTACTTAAATCTACCTCAAAAAATCAATTCTCAAAAGATATATTTTATATACAATTGTATTAAATTCCATTTAAATAAAAATAAAACGCCGGATACTTACTGTGATCATATAGAATGATCATCTCCTGTATCTGTAGCGTTTGAAATGGAACCACAGCTGAAATATGTTGTTATGAAACTGACACCTGAATCCTCGTTTGTAGGAATATTCCCATTCCCTGCTGACTATTTTGAAAGCAATATCTTCGTAAGGCGGACCAGCATGAAACCGTAAAATAGCAAATTCACGATTTTCAGGACACGGTGTCTGTAAAAACAACAAAAAACATTAATATCTATTCCATGATGACAAAATTATTAAAAACTTACTAAGAAATACTCCGGTGTCTTATTCTTATCAATCAAATCCGGATAGAAAATATTAAACTTATATCCCTGTACAATTTTCGGTGGCGGATTATCCATATCATAATGTGTTTGATTGTACTTATTCCATTCGAAGCCTGTGTGTACACGATTGAAGTACCTAGGTTTTCGAGGTCTGTACTTATCCGACCATAGATATACTTGACTGTCCAATGAAGTCTCAACTGAAAATTGTGCCTCGTCATTGTCCATTCCTTTACGAGCCTCTCGGATAAGTAACAACTCTTCCTTTGACACAACATTTTCGTTTTGATTTGCTGTGCCTTGTACTCTTCCACGAGCGTATTCTAAACGTTTATAATCGTCACTTTCTGACACGACTATTGTACCAGGATCTAAATCATTTGGAGATAAATATTTCGGACTGTAACCGCCTGATTCGTAAGAATCAAAACTTTCTCGAAGGTAGGATTCACTAGGATCATCGTTTGTTTCGTTCTCGTTATCATTATCGACGCTGGTTGTGCTGCCATGTTGAGATGATTCGTTGTGAATAGGTGATTCTTCATCGGGTTGAACAGCACTGGAACTTGGACCTGGTTCGGTTGTTTCGGAAGTAGGAAGTGGATTTTTGGGGGATCTTGGAATTTCTGTTGGTATTGGAATAGTTACCGCTTGTTCTGCTTTGAGGAGTTCCAGTTTTTTGCGTAGGTTTTCTTGGTGACGATCACGAAGACGAGCTCTAGCCATGTGAGCTGTAAAATTAATAGTTTATTAAGTAAATTTCTTAACGACGCCATTTTGTTTTATGCTTACCTTTCAATTGCGACAGCAGCGACTCCCAATACCCAATATCCAGCCCATCTGACTTGCTATTAATCTTATCCTCGATACTCTTCTGCAGCTGCGCTAGTTGTGCTGTTGTTTTACCTTTAAAAACATTCGTGACATCTTTTTCTACCGCTTGATGAATACCCTCTCTTCTATTCATCATTTCATACTCATTTTGCCGAATTAGTTTCCGTAACTTATGCAACTCATCTTGCACAATGACAGTAATATCATTCCAATAATCTAAATTCTTACCACGTTCCAATTCCTTATAAACCTTGATATCCTCAACTAAATCTTCTAAATCTTTCACCTGTAGGCCATTTAAATATGTATATGGTTCATGCATTTCTACGGCGTCGACTTCTTCTTCAGTGTTGATATATTTCGCGAGCAGATCAATCGGTTTGGCGCGGCCATCTTGAATACGAATATGTGAACGTAGACGAGCTTGTTCCAAATGAAACTGGTCTTCCTGTCGTTCCCATTCCTCAAATTGTGCTGCTTCTTTATTGCGCTGCATCAATTGCATTTCATCTTCGCGTTGTTGGCGTTCAAGTTCGCGTTCCTGTCGACGTTTCTTCACCTTCTCAAGTTCACGTTTGTTTTCTTCCTGTTTATGACGATTGCGTAATTCTAACTCTTCATGACTGGCATCAATCAAGCCTTCTTTGCTTAATTTCTTTGTCCAGACAAATGTACTCAGTAGATTACCATCCCCAAAAGGATTGTCTGTGTTTGTGTAGTGCAGGTATTCATTATCCCAGCCCATGCGCTCTTTCCGTGAACGTTCTTTTGCTTCTTTTTTCTTTAAACGACGCAAACGTTTCTCTTCTGGCGTTTCATTTAGCTTCATTAATTCTTTACGTTTTTTCTTTTCCTCTTCTACTCTTAATCTTTCTGCTTTTAATTTTTCTAGTAATTCTAAGGAACTGTTAGATGATGAACTCTTGGAACTATTTGAGCTACTGCTGGAGTTTGATCTGCTTGAACTACTACTTGAATCATGTTTTCTTCTGCTTTTATGGTCTTTACTCCTAGATTTAGATTTTTCTTTTGAATCGTTTTTTGACTTACGTGAATACGAACGCTTATCGTCACGAGATTTGTACGTGTCTTTTTTGTTGCGGGAAGTTGATCTTGAGCGCCGAGAAGGTCGTGATTTCGATTTATCTCTTCTGCTTGATGATTTGTATTGTGGACTTACACTTCTTTCTCTAAAATGATACAAAAACATTGAAATTAGAATAAAATCATTTATATATAAATGTTAATAATAAACATACCTTGTTCTGGGCATTGTATTTATTATTAACAATATTATTTTATACATAAATCACCACAAACGCATTCGCACAACAAACGATTTATTTTAGGTTATGCGGCCTTCAATCTTTCGCTAACAAGTGTTCGGAGCAGTTCGTTTACCGAATCGTTTTAAAAAGACGAGCGAGCCCGAACCACTAAAATTAAAAGCGTTATTATTTATTCTTTTTATATATTGCTATGTATTTAAACAAAATTGAAACAATATTTTGTTTATTAAATAGTATAAAATGCACTAATTTATAAGAACGTTTGTAAAAAACAAGATTTAAACAAAAAACGCTTTCGTATAAACTCGGGGCGCATGCGTGACAGATCAAATTTCCGAAAATATAACGGTCAAATCCACACACGAGTCAGCACAGTCAGCATTCCAGCCGGCAGCATTGTATTATTTTTCTTTGTGTAACTGCCATTGGAGGATAAGATCCTCCGCACTCTTAAACCATCATCCATGAACTTAGAACGTCAAGAACTAGTCGAAAGTATGAACAAGAATATTTATTATTCCGATAAGTATTACGATGAGGAGTACGAATAGTAACTATTTTAGTTTTATCTAATATGTATCTATAAGATAAGGTTTAGCATTTGTGGCTGTTATATATTACTGAATAAATAAATAAAGTTTTACATGTGTACAATACAGTCAATTATTTCCTAATACATATCTCACTTATAAAACTTATGAAATCATTGTAAATTATTGGCATTAAAAAAAGAATCTTTTAACCTATAAGTTCGTGTTCTTCGTTTTGTGAGTAAATTTCCATTGTACACATCTTCTCAGTGCTGTACTTTGAAGGTATGAATAGATATTTAAACAATTAAACTATTTATTTAGTGTGTAGAGATATGATTCTCAAACGGTGTTCATGTTCAAAAGTTGCGGCAAACGCAAAGCACATGTGATTTGGCGGTGAAATTTGATGCATGAAGGTTAGAATACCGCGTTACCGGCAGTTTGAAATTAACGAACTACAAATTTAGTTTTTCTTAAATATCTCCTAAAAAACTTTATCAATCCGTATCAAATTCAAGACAGTGTGCAATGGTAATAAAATATATCTAATACTAGTTAAATTTCTGATAATAAATGAATAATTGCTGCTTAAATTTACGTTTTAAACTTCAATCCGCAAATAAAACTGTAACATTGAATATCATTCAATGTTAATACTAAATTTGAAAAAGATTAGGATCATAATTAATATAGTTCGTTAGTTAGCTCTGTAGTATCAGCAAAATTGCTATTTATATCTGCTTCATTATCTAACTGAACAAATATAATGATATAAGTAATCCAGGTACTCACAAGCTAAAAAAATGCAACAAAATTAACAAAATATTTAAAAATAGTTTAATTATTACCTTATAAATAATTCCCCAGTGTATAGTAAGAAATCTTGCTGCAGTAATATCCAACGTCGAATGTAAAAGTTGCAAAGAAAACATTTCCGTCTGAAAATTTATATTTATTACCCAGTTTAAAATTGTTTTAAAGACAATTTACATGTTTCTCCAACTTAGGATACAAATTTCTAAGTTGATGTAAAAAATACCGTGTTTGATTCGATTTACGCATCAATTCTGACGAAGAATCGATTAGAACAATCAAAGCAAACATCCATACAACAGACCAATACTCAATTGCATAAATAGACCTCATCGGCATGGAATATCCATTGATATACTGCCCAATATCCATACAGACATCATAAACAAATGATAAAATATCCACAGTGACAATCATCAAAAACACAACCAGATCAAACCCAAACAACGAATTCAACAACCGCACATTATCAACATACGCATCAAAAATATTAAAAACCATCTGAAATATAGTAACACGATGATTCGGAAACAATTCCAGCAATTTCGGTGGATACTCCGAGCGTTTATTGAGATAATACTTCTTAATTATCTTCTCATCATTCATGGTAAACTGCTGCAGGTAAACATTAATCGCTTCGAACTTATCGCCGCACATTTCCATGAGCATTGCGATTGTTAGCACATAAACAGCGATCACTAGCGATGGAATATACTGGCATGCAAAGTAGGGCCATACGTATTTGTCGCTGAAGTAATAAATGTCGGCGGTGAGTGCAGCGGAGGCGCTCAAGAAGAGTAGCATGTAAATTGCGATTGTTGGATGGTATTTGATCCGGGGCACAACTTCGATTAGTTTTAGTTTCGCGTCGTTCTTGCGTAGAATTTCAAATGCGGAGAGGTACTGGCCACGGAAGAGTGTTGTGGTTATTGATACTTGAATGAAGAGCATTGGGCACACGAATGCTTGCACGTAGAAACGCATTGATGAAATAAAATTGTATCTGGAATTGGATTTAGTGGATTTGCGTCAAATTAGTAAAAAAATAGCAAATATTTTTTTAATTATTTTTTTTCTACGTACCGTCCACCAATAATTGAATTTTCACTTATAAAACTATAAATAAACAAAATAAAAAATATAATTATTGAAATAACGTTAAAAGCAACATGAAACCGTCCACCACTAGAAAATTTACTTGTAATTAACCATTCGTTGAAATATTTTTTTATAAAGTGAATAGAATAAAATGCAGCCATTTTTACAAAGATGTTGTTTTAAAGACTACCACAAATGTTATACAAACATTTAATTACACTCTACACTCTTTATATGATCACCTACAGTAAACATTAATAATATAACAGACATTATAATAAATATTACACACATCAAATTTTTTGTTGCATGTTTATGCAGGGAATAATATTGTTTGTGATGGCGGCGCGCCTCCACCAGCTTCACCACTCACAATATGGCGCTTAATCGAACCGAATTGTATTAATATCACCACGTATGTGGATGCGGCCGATATAATCTGAAACAATGCAGTATTAAAGAGTGTTAAGCGTTTTATTAATATTCCCTGCTCACCGAAATGATGGCCGGCCAATCGATATCGACTATGCCGGACGCGCTGAACTGCGGAATCGCGTTTGACAGTTGTATCGTCGTCAACTGAATGCATCCGGCCCACTTCCCGATTTGATTATTAATCGATAAGATGTTCCAGAGTTTATGAACGTTGAGTACTGTTTCTTTCAACTAAAAATTATTTTTTATTATTTTTATTATTTACTGGTTTTTAATGGTACCTTTTTATCTAGATGTGTCCATGAATAAATAGAAATAATTATTCTAGCGAATATTATCACAATCTGCAGACAATTCCCAAGAATCATAAGCAATTGTAGTTGATCATAAGTAGTTAAATCTAAATCGACAATACCATTACACACGTCGTACAATGTGAGAGTTACCACTGCAAAATCCAAAATAAACAGTGACATAATCGGTGCACCAAATAAATTATTCGCTTTCTTTGCACATTGACAAATCTCCAGATGTATTTGAGTCAAGTCCTGAAACTTTTCAAGATAGGCAACTCTGTGTACCTTCTGTTGTGCATGCTGTGCTTGTACTTTGAGTTGCCTATTATGTTCATCTTGTACGAATTGCAACCCTTCGAACATGAGTGCGTGTATTCGCTCACATTGTAATGCCATTTCATTGAGTATCTTGTACGCGAACATGTTCTCACAATAATACATCAAATTCCCAGCGAAGATAGCCAATTTGATGGACCAATGCATATCGGCACACCATCGCACCATTGCATTGGCGCTGGTAAAAACGAAGAAAACCATCCACATTTTCAACGTATTCTTCGTGTATTTCGGTTGCATGCGGAGCCGCTTATTGATTTCATTCACGTCTAGAATTACGCGCTTGAAGAGGCAACGCACAGCGAAATAATAGGGAAATCTGCTCAGCGTTGCGAGCAAATTGACGCAGAATACAGTCCAGATGCCGTACGACAGAATCACCACTTCCTCCTGCAGCATTTCGCTGGTGTTGAAGTGGTAACTGGCCAAACTCAAGTAGATAAATGACGCCAGAAAGGGTATGAATAGAATCGAACTGAATCGGCTCAGACATTTTGAATTGGCGAGCGAAAATTGCGAGACGCCGATGAATGCGCCCAGAAATAGTATTGAATCGAAACTTTTCACGTAACAACTTCGCTTTGACATGTTTAACTCACAATAGAATATTTATGTATCTACTTGCTATTAATATGAACGTATCAAGTTGTTATTATTGTGTTTCTTGTGAACGACAACAAACAAATTGACGTTTAATGCATTAATTTTACAATATTTTCATTTACCACCGTGTTTACGCCAGAAATTAATTATTTTCACGTTCATCATCAAATTAAACAAACATTTAAAATGATTAATCATAGTTTTTCACTCTAGTGAATAAAATATAGTATTTCTCTGTTTTTTTTTTCGCTGTGTGATTAATGTGTTATTGTAGCGTTCCGAATAGGATTCGGTTGAACTTCAGTAGCTAATTCGAATTGCATTATAATAACAACATACGTGGCGGCAGATGAGATGACCTAGAATGTTATATCAGCATTAATAATTTAAACCCGTATTGATTCTGTGCGATGCACAACAATAGCAAACATGATATGAGCATCAACATGATTATCAAGACTCACGTAGATAATTAACGGCCAATCAATGATGATGATACCGAAGGTTGAAAAATTCGGCATGCCGTTGAACAATTGCACGATGAGCAATTGTAAATAATTGGATTTCTCGTCGATCTCGTTGTGCTTCGCGAGCGTATTCCACATTTTATGCAAACATGTTATTGTGGCCTTTAGCTATTAATCAAAATTATGTAAACAGACAATGTTAAAGTTAATATTTGCATCGAGAATCTATTTTTATACTGAAAAAACTAACCGACATCATTTTTATGTATAACTGGTTGCATATTATAAAATATTTCCTATGATTTGACTTTACGTATTTGCAAAATTAATAAAACCTTCAAATTTAGTTAATTAGAGAAATATACTTACAGTTTTCTTAAGTTTGGTCCAATAATAAATACTATAACATTCTTTGGTTAAAATAAGCGCATCGTGAAATGCATTATTGAAAGCTTTCAGCATAATTCCATAGTTGACACGTCCAAGGTTTAAAAGCTGGCGAATGTCTTGGCAGAACGTGACAGTGGTGCAGGTCAACATCGTAAAATCACTCAACACTGCAACCAAGACAGACACGCCGAAAACCGTGTTGATTTCGGTTGCAATTTGCCCGATAGCCAAATGAGCTTCGGCCATTTCATACGCGCTATCAAAGAAGGAATCTTTCTCGCTCTCGCGTAACTTCTTCACATCCAACAATTCATTCCAGATTTTACCTTTCGGTTGAATTTTATCCAGCGCCAGAAAACTGATTCTCTTCTGCAGATGCTCATTAATACTCCTGCATTGTTTCGACAATTCATTGAGCATTTTATACGTCAAAGTAATTTCAACATAGTTCACGAAATAAAACAATTGATGCACAAGAATAATCCATATTGATGAAGCCGTATACAATTCCACATAGGAATTCAAAGCGATTGCAATGCACAAAGTCCCAACAACTCTCAAAATCTCCATTGTGTAGTCCTCTTCACGCAGCTTCAAGAATTCGTTCAGTTTGTGCACTTTGAAAAACGCGGCCTTGAATGTCTTCCGCCGTAGATAAAAATAAACCACTTTGAAGTATAACGATAGAAAATGTTGCAACATGAGAAGACTGATAGCTGTCGATGGCATATCAGAGTCAATCTCAGACGATTTGTATCCTTGCAGATCAAGAAAAGCACGATAACAAACATACGCGTAGAATGCAAGTGAAGGCACCGCGTATAAACAATCAAAGTAATCATTACCATGACTTGTTAAATCAAACATGGAAATTCCGAAAACTTTACCAAACCAAACAAAATATTCTGAACTTTTAATATATTTACTCGTCATTTTTATCCAGAACTTCTAAAAACGTCCTAGTTTAATGCTGGTTAAGTCTACAATAAGTTTATATTGTTTGTATCGGAGACCATTTTTTGTAAACATATTTTAATGAGTGTTTATTGATGTAGCAAGCGCGATACGAACTTCTAATTATAATTAAATTGTGTTCTTTGCTGGTTATTTCAGTTTAATGATGGATATGTCAATGGATATCGATTGTGATGACATTTTGAAGGACAATCTATTGAATAACTTCCTATCGTGCAAGTTGAAGAGTGTTCAAGATGCGAATCAACAGCTACGCACTACAATCGCCGACGCAAAGTGTTCCATTGTCGAGGCGGAGGCCGTGAAAAGCGACAAAGATAGGTTAATTGTACGCTCGGTGTGTAAGCGCTACCACAATGGCAAGTGGTGCTTTATTGTAGATGTCGCCACTCTAGATTCCACAATGTAAGTATTAAAAGGGTTCGTATCGAAAGAAAAACATGTGTAACTTATAACAATTTGTTTATTTATCTCGATATTGAGGTTTAAAAAGTTTGATAGTCGCTTAATGGCTACGTTAATATAGTAATTAGGATTGTACTCACTCTAAGTATCACAATTTCTTGCAAAACATAACCCTATCGACTATTCAATGAGCAAGTTAACTTTTATTACGAATAGCTTAGTTCCCAACAAAATATTTCACAGTATTTTATTAGTTTTTCTGGTTTATATGTAGTTTTATTGCGTTTTTATTACTTGGTAGCTGTACTACATTGCATACATGTCATGCTGGTTGCTTGCCTCATAGCTTCTTCATCGTTATGGCGGCGAGCAGATCGGAGGGATCCTTGTCGGGTTGCGCGACGTCTAAATATCCTTGCAGTGAATAATTGAAGAGCTCAAAGTCGTATCTGTTTTTAAAATTGTAACGCATACGTAAAGAATGGCAGAAATTTAATGAATTTTACATGTTACATGGTGAATTATGCGCTTTTACTTGGCTTACCTATAAATGTGATACAGTTGTAAAATTTGTGAACGCGTCAGCTGGGAATACTGCTGCTCGACCTTCTTGGCAGTATAACCATGGCCGACGTTTCTCCACTCGGGTTTTATGACATCCTGAAGACCCGCTTTTTGGATGAGATATTCTTGATCCTCCTGCAGCATACATACACGCGCGCGTGGTGGAATACAAACATTTTATTTATTTTATTTTACCTGCAGGGTTTCCGTGTGCGCAATGACATCAAAGTCGAATTGACACGGCGTGCAGAATTTCGTAATCGGCGTCCAATGCATGTCCATTGGTTGCTCGTTTTTCGCCTGATCTAATATATAAGCGACGAATTCGGGGAATGATGGATACCGTTGAACTTTTAATTTTCCCTAAACAAAAATATTTTTATGATTTTTGTGGGTTTTTTGAAGGAATTGAAGGTAATTTACAGTTAATTTTGTCTTGGTGGAGCGATACTTTTGTATAATTTCGTTGCCCAATTTTCGGTGATAAGTGTGCGGCAGGGAGTATTGAATTTTGTCGTTGTAACCGGATAACAGCCGTTCGAGCGGATGGCGCACGATGAGGAAGGAGATCGAAGTCCTGAACGCGCTGCGCAGTTCTGCAAGGCTGGGACGGGGGTATCTCTGCCTGGCGAGATTTAGAGGCACTTGTTTGGTTTTCTTCAAAAATTGTGGATTATATCTAGAAATGCAACGCGCGTTCAAAAAAATAAAAATCTTCTTTTTTCTCTGCTGCACGTCACTCACCCCGCCAGTACATTAAAATTGTACATCCATGAAGTACTGGCTGCTTTGAACACGTTACACCAGATGAGATGGTGTTGCTTGTTAATGAGGAACTCCCATGGATTAGGTTTATGCAGGGTATCATTCGCTTCAATGTCAAGACCCATGTGAGAGCACATCCTACGCAGGTACGCTTTACGTTGCAATAGACGCTCCTCAACTGCGGTCATATTTTTCGCGACTCGGTGTGATAATACATCCAAACGGCCGTGCTAAAGTGATTTAATTATGATTTAGTTAAAAACTTTTTTCTGTGTAAACGTTTAATAGAAATTTATGTTGCGTGGTTCTTTTTCTTTTCTTTTTTCTTTTGTATGTTTTATTATGTGTCTTAATGGCGTCTCACAGCAGGAAAGTTTGGCGACTATATAAAAACAACTATAAATCTGAAAATTTGTCATAAAGCACTTTGCGCGCAGGCATTTGAAGAGCCCGTAGTAAAAAATTGCAGCAATAAATCGGCGAAGATGTTGCCGACGTTGAGAAATGGTCACTTCCGGTTTTAATCGTGCAGAATAAAGCCTTCCGTGGCGAGAAAAGCGAAAATATCGATTGAAAGCAAAAGCGAATTTAATTTTAGAATTGCCCTTTGTTCCAAGCACTAATCTCGACCTTAGATACCCGAGTATTACCATTTGCTGGTGGAAGTTTGTGTTGGTACCCTGCGTTACACCTACTCGCAGGCTGAAACGCACTCCACGTGGTTTACATATCCGCCCTACTTATCGATTAATTCGGTAGTTGAAACATGCATGAATGTTGTATATATATATGGTTGTATTAAGATATGATCGGCATCGGAAAACACGATAGCGTGCCGTCCTGCATTTTCCTCGCTCTGCTTTCGTCTGCTTTCAATATAAACTTTAACAAAAGGCTGAGATTGAACGCTTGATGGAGGCAGCGCTTTGTGATTATTTGGATGTCGTCCAAGCACATAGACGCACATTGTTCACAAAAACACAAAATGACATAGAGAATATATTGTAATAAAACATGAGTTGCACAAAATCTATTAATATCTCCACAGTTATCAGAAATATTTATTTATTTCCATTTTAAATCAAAATTTTTGTTTTTTAACAAAAAAAAAAACGTTATTAAATGAAAATAAATTAATATACTGAGTGATTAATTAAATAAATAACTTAATTTAATAAAAATCAAACAAATTATCAAAAAATTATCATGAAAAACATTAAATTTCAACCGCAAATTGTAAATTTATTTCAAAACTCATCTCTGTCAACGTATTTGCTGATGTGTCTAAATCTATTTGTATGCCAAGGACAAATTAAGCCCAATTAAACCTCCAGATGTGCTTTTTATTGTTTTTAATTCTCATGATTGTTTATAACATTTACCTCGGATCTATCGAATGTGGACTTTCCAGCGCGCACCGGCCGCATATATTGATCTGTCGTAACGAGCAGCACCAGTAGCACCGGTATCACGCAGATCGCCGTGAAGAAAATCACGCATCTTCGTATCACTTTCCACGTGGCCACTCGCTTACGCTTTTTGTATCGCATCACTCGTCCGCGCACCTCGGGTGATGCACTCGGACATCGGCCGTCAATCACGCGTGCGTACTCCCTCGTGTGTACATTTAACTAGATAACAATTGAGGTTAGAACCGCTAAACCAATACAAATCAATGGATTACCTTGTGCTGCAGGCGTAAAACTAGATAATGTTGTAATATTTATTATTTTATTATTATCTGGGATGTATATAATGTAAATATACTAGTTTTATATATATTTTATGATAATTGCACGTTGAAGCTTTGGTTAGTTATAAAAATGCACGTTTTATATATTTTATTTTATATATAATTGATTTTACGATTGTTTTTTATTTTTAATTTTTAATTTTTTGTTTTTAGCTCTTTTGGAATTTTATCTTAATGATTACAGCAATGGCTCGGAGCTTAAATATTTATTTACTATTACGTTATTAATATTATTAATTTTGAAAACGTCAAGTAGGTAACTTTGGAAGACTTGTGTTAATTGAATTGCGAAACTTTGTTATTTTTGATTATAAGCTTGTCGCAGTGTCGCTAGTTGGACTGCGGGTGTTTACATTACGCGCGCGTTCACTAATTGTTTAGTAATTGTTGATGTGTCGCGTGGCCGTGTGACTTTTCGCCTGCGATCTCGTGCGAGATGAGCGGCTACATCGCGCACTTTCGAGGCGCGAGGTTATGTGCGGCTGCAGGAGCAGAAAGCCGATGCGGGCTCGCGCGTTTTCCCGTGACTGGCGTGGCGGCGGCGCAGCGGGAGCGTGACTGCGGTGCGTCGCCGTCCCGTCCTGCAGCGGGTCGATCCTGCCACAGGACTGCGGAGGGCATGCGCTCGTTATTGTGCTCGCCGCGGCTCCTGCTCTGCATCCTTTCTCGCTAAACGCTATGCTGCGCAACGTTTTATACTCGTTTTATTTAAGAGATTATTTTATTTATTATGATTATTTTCTTTAACTATAAAAGTAAAATGAAAATCTTGAAGGAAATTAGAGTAAAAGTAGTATTAACGCTGTTGTAAATTAATGGGTGGATTCTTCTTGCGCGAGTCTAGATATAATTTCAGTTTTTTGTTAATATCTCGGAAACTAATTAACTTATTAGATTTATCTCTTCGGGAATTTATTCAGTGGAAAATTTTGCATCCTATTATATTCTAAAAATGTTTTAGATCATTTTTCTAAAAAGTTATGGTAATTTTCTTAATTTTTACAAAATCTAACTTTAATTGTTTATAACTTTTGTTGTAACAATTAGATATTTATAATATTTTACAATTAGACGTAGAATTTAATTGTTAACCAACTACTGAAAAAGTAACTACAATATCTCAAATAGTTTTTGAGTTATTAAATTAAAACTTCCGGATAGCATAATTTAAATTTTAAAAATACGTAATTTATTCAATTTAGAGCAAAAATATGAATATTTATGTGACGCAAGTACCAGAACGTTACCTGTTTATATAATTCTGTTTGTGTGTTCACAGAATGTACAAGGACTTCGACGTGTCATTGAAATGGTCGCCGATAATTGCACCACAGTACACGCTAACGATCTACTCGAACGATGTGAAAAAGTTCGTAACGCCAGCGAAAATAGCGACCGAAATACGCGTTATCGTCGCATTTGAATCGATAACGTTTGCGCGACAGAAAAAATACACCGCAGAAGTCGTCCTGTTCTACGCGGCGGATGATAACATATGCAGCCTGCAGCTGGGCGCGTTTTGTATCAGCGCCGCGGAGATGAACAGCGGCGCGCACGAAATTAAAAACATACATTTAATTAACGGCCGCCGAGAGGATATGCTCGCGGCGGTGGCCTGCAGCGTCGAGATAGAACTCGCGATGACACTGCCAATGGGCGTCCTCAGAGATTACTTAGTCATTGACTGCATGTTCCGAGAGGTTGTGCTTGACACTAACAAATGGTTTCTGCTCAATGCTAACGCAGAACACTTGAATGGATGTCTTTTAGTTTATCACTTTGATGAACAAGATGAAATTAATTTGGTGAAGTTATATGTCAGGTATAATTGGTTGCATACACTAAAACTAACCCTATTTTAAAACCCTGTATTTAATCACAAAAACTATTTATATATTTTTTTTAGGGACAAAGTACATTTACACAGCGTCCTCCACCATTTGCATTCGAGCATGAAAGGCGTAACAATAATGTCTTTGAAATGCAAATCGCAGTTGGTGAAACCAAACCGCGATTGTGAGGATGAGATTTTCTCGTCGCAGGCATACTTGCAATCGCAGGCGCCGAAACGCGTCGATGCGAGCGTGGAAAAATTCGCCGAATCCCTCCATCGACAAATTGATAGCGTTATCGATTTTCATCGGAATGTTGTCGGCAATAAGGAAATTTCGCCGGAATGCGACGTGACCGAGCAATATCACGCCATGCGAAATTCCCTAACACAGCACGAATCGACTACTGATTTGCTCTACCAACACCTTTCGAAATAAAAATAAACAAACACGAAGTACTTACAAAAATGGAAAACATTTATTATATACATCAAATACAAAATACAACATGTCGTAAAGATATAAAAATTAATAATTATCGATTATTAAGTAACTATTTTTTTAATTTAAATTACTTTTATTGTGGTTGCATTGTCACGACGCCATTAGTTCCAGTTTTTCAATAATAACTCAAAAACTATTTGATATTTTAACAAAATTCTTTCATAAATCTATTTAGCATTAATTTCTACATTAATTATGCTAAATTTTTGCCAATCATAATTTTCCATAAAAAGTTATAAACAATTAAACTTCAATTTAGTAAAAAATATAAAATTGACACATATTGTGCGGTAACTTTTTATAAAATCATGATTACTATATACTTTTGCATAAATATATAGACAATTTAATACTGAAAGTGTTTGTAAAAAAATTTTGAATGTACGTTGAATAGTTTATGAATTATTAATAAATAACTAAAATAATCGATCGTGACATTGGAAAGATACTATAGATAACAAAATATATTAAATCTGTTTCGAAATCTTTCAGTCTTGCCCTACATACGTGTTAAATATTCTGCAAAAAATACAAAAAGCCATCACCGCGCCCCAAACGTTTACGTAACCCTTAGCCCTTGTGTTTCTATGTACAACGTTTTGTTTTGCAGGTACTTTGAAGCGACTGCCGTTCTGTTCCTACCGATACTTAACTACTTCCTCCGATACGAACTGAAACTACTTCCCATTTTTAAATTCAACTTCCCCTTAATTAATAATATCTATAACACTAATTGTTTGCTACGCGTGTTACTGGCTTACGAATATTGCACAAATTTCAATATATTGCACAACATTATCACAAAATTCGTGTTTACTTGAGCAGAATCAAAACAATAAAACAGAAAAATATTGCACGGAAATTGCACGACGTTTCATTAACAGTAATTTGGCTTATTTAGCCGTTAATTAATTAATTGTACACAATAAACATTAAATAGATTAAACTAATGTGACTTACACTAGGAAATAAATTAATATTAATATTGCTGTAGCTTATACACTACGATATTGCACGTCCGGCCTGTTATCAATTAATCTCACACGGTGTGTGTGAGTTTATGTACAAAAATTACACTCGAAATATTTCTACAACTAAACTAATCATATTTGTTTTAAATAATTGTATGGCTAATATATTTATATAAACTAGGAACCCGATTGATGAATCAATGATGTTTTGAGTCCGAACCAACGCCACTGTCTAATGAACTAGTGACATTTGTTGTTTTTCTAAAACTACCGAAGAATACAGAATGTGTTTCGATACTTTCCGCGCCTGATTCACTTTGACCATCACCGAGACTTTCGTCTGTTTCACTACCACCACTGCACAATTCCCGCTTCTTTTTGTGATGAGATTCATTGGAATCTGTGCTTAGATATCCGCTGTCATCTTGTTTCACTTTGATAACCTTCTTCCAGATCTTCTTGGGTTTACTTACGAGGTCAACTGGACAGTCTACGTTGTTTGTAATGGACGCTTGTAAAATCAGTTGATTATTGATGCCATTTTTAAAAATGACGTCTTCTGAATGTATAAAGTTGTTGAGGATGCTTACATCTGTGTATTTCACAGGTCCAGTGCCTTTAAGCGTACCGTTTTTTGGCGGTAGAGGCGGTTTTGTATTTTCGACAGGTCTCGGTGGTTTAGGGTGTTCATAGATTGGTACTTCCGGTTCCTTCATATCAGGTGGTATTATATCTGGTGGTATGGATATTGGTGACTTTCGTTGTCTTTTGGAATGACGTTCCTCTAAGGTTAGAATTCGTCCTTCGTAATCTTCTTCTTCTTCATGATGCGGCCATGTTGTTTGTGCTTCTACATCATTTAAAGGTTTCTTAATTTTTGCTTCGTAGATTTCTCGTAAACTACTAAAACTTTTCTCGAAAGCTTCATTAATACCCTCTTGGGTCAAAGCAGAAGCATCTTTTTTGAAGGTTCCATTTGTCCTCAACATAATAGGCTTGGGCCTTTCTAAAGAATCAATGAATTCGCCATCAATACGTTTGTACAATTTCATTTTGGGTTTCCTATCAAGAGTGTCAGGTTCAAAAGCATCCGATTCCTCAGCTCTGATGTAATTATCCGGACAATCTTCAACTTCTATAAGTAAATGTCCTGGTTTATTAGGTTCATAAATAATTTTTGGAGCTCTCTCCAACGTTGAACAATCAGAATCAGTTGGTGTTGATGGTTGACTGCTGTAATTGTACCCGTTATTAACATACACCTCACTAACTAAACTATACCCAGTGTTTTTTCTCTGTAACAACTCAGGAAGTTTAAATATACTCCCCGCGTTGTTGCCTTTCTTTAAAACAATCAACTCATAGTCATGATCGTCAGATGGCATCACGTTGCTCATATTCAGTTTGGATATTGTCATGTTACCGGTTTTGGTGTTAATTATCGCGTTTTGCATGGTCATTTCTTCATCCATGGGCAAGGCACCACTCAAACTAGGACTGGGTTGTGATGAAGACACGTCTACGTATTCAGGAGGTGTGCTGAAACCCTTTTTGGTGCGTTCCAAGCTGTCCGCTTCGTAGACCGCCTTGGATGCTAATTTTAGATTGTCTATTTTATTGATAATCGGCTTAGCAACTGTGGTCGCCTTTGATGTTGACGTGGACGAGCTGCTCGTCGACGTGTGTTGCTTTGATGCGCGCAAGCATGATGGCTTCATGGATCATATCCGGGGCGGGAGTGGTGCTTTACCTTTGGGCGCTGCCACCACGTCGTAGATGTTATGTGTTTTTTGTGTTTTTTGTACTTTAACTGTGGATTGCTTTGTTTTTACTTGGGTAGGTGGTAGGGGAGGCGGTGCCTTTGGTCTGGTTGTACTACGTACGGTTTTAATTGTACTGCTGCTCTTTCGTGACCTATTTGAGCGATTTGAAGACGCGGATTTTGTTTCGCAGTCGATTGTTGGTTCAGCTGCAGGTCGCGGTGCAATTTTACGTATGTGGGGTGTAATCAGATGATCAGGTGATAATGATCTGGTTGGAGAACGGAGTTTTCGACTTTTTGATTGCAATTGTAGTGATTTGGGACCATCGGATTGTTTGATAACAGGAACATCTTCCAACCACTTGCGAATACTTTGCTGCTTGCTGTCTGAACTCAGTGCGCAGTTTTCACAAGCGCCTAGGGTGGAATATTGGGGCAACTTTCCGGTCAGCGAGTTGAACTCTTGCGGTTCACAGCCCGGACATCCGGTGCACGTTTTTCTGCGACTGTTCTCCCGTTTTAGACTTACTGAACTCCCGCGTCTATTGATTACGGTTTTAGAGAATTCCGAACCTACTTCCACCAGATAACTGGGATCTTCTTCCGGAATACCAATTAGGTTAGGAGTGAACTTCTTGGCCGCCATTTTTTGTTTTGCAATGCAAATAACTTCACGAATTTTTGTTAGAAATTCAATAGCAGCTGGTGGAGGAGCCTAATAAAAGAAATAAAATATTAAAACATAAAATTTTCAAAAAATAAAAACTCTTACAATTAGTAAATGAGGTTCAAAGTAAGCTGGATTGAAATAAAGTTTTCTTCGTGCCGTGCCGATAATTTTAACGGAATCAGGTCGATCTTCTCGTCCTTCTACAGTCTCCACAATTGAAACATTTTCTTCCGGAAGCCTTTCAATAGATTCCTGGAGCATTGTTTGATTTGCCGCTTGCGCTTCATATTTGTGTTGGTATTGCGGATGTATCATAACGGAAGTTAATTGGATCTACACAATAAATAAATAATTAAATCTCTATTGCATTTTTACTAAATTATTAAAAACCACATACGTTTTTCTTGCGTTCTTCATGTTGTTGCATCACGTCCATATTAGGTTCAGTATCAGAACTATTAGAATCACTGAAAGTGTTTTCCGGTGTGGGAAAATGGCGCACCAAATTTAACAATGGATTATTTTTGACCACTCCCTCCTCAGCCAATCCTTGCTTATCATTTCTTTCATTAGTTTTATCGACTTCCTTCCGCCGTCGTCGAATGTGCAAGTATAGAAAAACGGACGCCACATAAATGAGACCCAAAAGAACTGAACAGATTCCGATTGCGACATATTCAGAAACGGAAAGACCGGATGACGATTCGTTATCCGTCGATGTATCAGGTGCAAACACAACTTCACTAACATCTAGTAAATAAATAAAAAATTAAATATTTGCAATAGTAATTAATTACGATGAAATTATTACTGTTTAAATATTTCATTGGAGTGCCAACAACGCGAAATGCAACACACGGCGTGAATATCGTTGGTGGATCCGGCGTTGGGTCAAGGCTGCTGGCAATTTCCCTGCACATCAGGTGGACGAGGACGAGGCGACCTCCCATGCGATTGCGAAGTTCCGGTTCGCCAACCCACTGTGACAAAAAATGTGTAACATTTATAATTGACACACACTCATTTATTGCGCGTACTTGTAGAAACGTTCGTCCTTCGTCGCGAAATAATCTGAAGGGGACATCGGTGTCGATCGGATTTCGTAGATCTATCCATCCGCCATCGGTTAGAAACTTGGCTCCGGACACAGCGCATAATGGCGTCTGGATGCCTGCAATAAAACGAGATACATTTGTGAACAATTTAATCTCTTCCCGCGGTCGCAAAACGCAATACTAAATCAGTGGGTTTATTACGTTGACTCGCGTTTTTTTCCTCTTTCGGTGAGTCAGTGTTTGTGTTACAAGCGCGCAGCGAACGCTGGAAGCACTTATTATGCATTTTTATGAGGTCGAGTCCAGGCATGCGGATTTAAAATTCGGCAAAAGCTTTTGTGTACAGAAATAAATTCGCTGTGCCATTTCGCAGCGAAACTTCAAAACAAAACAACCAACGAATGTTTTGATGCGAAAATTATGCGAGAACCAAATCGAAGGCAAATATGGTTATGAAGTTATAGTATAGGCAACTCAATATACACTTTATTTTATGTCATTCATTAAAAGTAAAAAATTCATGAATTGTGTTGTTAATTATGACTTCTCGCAGCACACATGTCGTGTGGATAACTGTCGGCTTTCAATTACACGAATGTAGACTCGGATTTATTCAAAATCGACAAATGAACATGAAAAGTACGCAGATGTGAGGTTATACGAAATAATGGTGTCTTTTCAATGCACGTGTCTTTTCCGAGCTTTTGTTCGCTCTGAAAACAATCGTTGCAAACCGATACGCGTATTGAATTATGAATCATTTCCTTTTGATTGCATTACACACGTTTAAGTATTTAATAGCGTATTAATGCGTAATCCGTGGCTTTCATTCTCATCTACGCATCAGCATCGGAAAGTAAAAGTCAAAGAGAATTCTCTGCGTGTTGTGTCTTTGTATCAGTCGATGCGTGCGATCATTAAATCAGTTAAGCGATGAGTTCAAAGCACTCTCGCAGAAAGATAAAACTTTAATAATAATCACGCGCGCGCACAGTACATAAATGAAACTTTAATAACTAATGCAAGGCGCAAACTATACAACAAACTAAATATTACACTTCGAAGACGAGAGGGATTGTAGGTTCTAGGTTTTAATCTGGCGCTCGTCGACGCGCAAAACGGAATAAATTTCACAATTCATAATTCCCACGAAGCGTAACTTCCTGTGCCGCGTTTATATAATGATCGCTTCTTGTATTACAATTAGTTGCATTGTCTGGCCACAATGGGCACGCGTCGATGATTAACCTTCTTACTTTACGTCGGACGGCTTGCAGCGCGGGCGATAATGACCCGTGCGTAATTCTAAAATCATTTTTACGATTTTGTCTGTGTTTACAGTTATGCAAAGTTGTTTTCATGATCATTTCATGCTGAAACAACGAAATATTCATGCAGACTTACCGGCAAAACTGATTTCTTTGCTTGGATGTATAATTTGTCCTTTGAGCGGCAGAAAAACAAAAGGAATTTGTTGTGATGTCGATCCAGATACAAACGGTGACAAGACGCATTCTGCAAAAGAACGAATTGGAAATTATAGTGCTTGTTATGTTATGCATGAATTATTAGTCACAAATAATTTTCAATTTCTTTAAGTTGGAAATTTTCTTTTTGCGTGCATAAAAATTGATAAATTACCAATACGGGTACTAAACGTCAGGTATTAGAGTTTATTAAACAATAGATCGTTAAATAAATAGTAATAATTTAATTTAAAATCTTGCTTTCAGGTAAATTGTCGTTGGCTATTGCCAAGGTTTATTGTCCTTTTCACAGTCGTGACAAATTCTGCTTACGACGATATCTTGTAAAGGTATTACGTTAACTTAACCTTAATTCATTGGAACGTAATGATACAAAGCTCATTACGTCAGATAAATTACCTCGTTGACTTCAAAATTGACTTCTCAACCTAAGAATTACTAGTTAATAAGAAGTGAATCAATTTGTGCATAAAATTATTAAATTATGCATTTGTTTACGAAAATATTTATGAAATTTTTATTTTTATTATTAAAATCAATATTTTATTACCTTTCAGTTTGATATTTATAACAAAAAGTAGTCTATGTAATTTCTCAATATAAAATCTATCTCTATATCAAATTTTGATTAAATTAATTAAGTACTTTAGGCGTGAAAGTGCAACAAACATACATTTTATCTATTTTTATTTTTTAAATCTAATTAAACTAATATATCTCTAATAAAACATCCGATATTAAATAAATAACATTTTTTTCTATAATATTTATTACCTAGGCAGTAAAGTATCCCATTTAGTTGACAAGTGTGCAAATTGGAACATGAAACACGATTATAAATATTTGCTTCGCGACAAATTACATCCACTTGCGTGCGGCAATTAATATAAGCGTAAAATTTACGGCCCGCATTAAAATCGCAGCCACCGCGAATAGTTCCGTTGACGTCTTAAGTTATCCGTTTTTAATCGTGCGTAATAGCATCGCTCCTAACCACCCGCCGCCGCGCGGCGCAACGCTTTGATAGTTTGACGCCGTGATGCCATACGAATGAAAATTTTCAATGAAATAAATTACGATTTTACAGCTTTATTACCCGCGCGCATTCTAGCTCTATCTGTGCGCCGATTAGCGCGTCATGAATAATTGCAATTAACAAAAATGCGCTTGCGCTCGTCGTGCCGTTAATGTTAATACATTTAGAAACGATGGCTCTTGATTGCAATTAGTCGCTCATGCTGAATGCTTACTTCTGTGCGGTGCGCGCAAGTTGTGAGTTAATTAAACGCGGTGATTGCTCAGTTTTTTAAAGTTCAACGATTTCGATTACATTGTGTGCTGCGCCGCGTCGTGCCGCGCTACTTGAAGCAATTGTACTTGCTGCAAGCAGTGAGCAATGCTTTTTTTGCTTCTTGCTTCGCGTTTGTCATTGTCTGGCGGATTCTATTGAACTCGTATAGGTTCGCTTAGTGGTTGTTTAGATGCGTTCAATTGTTTCGCACGGGAATCTTTTCTAATTCGCGAGAAAAGTTAGGTTATGTCGAGTTGAGTGGCATACCCACATATTACCTATGTATTGAGTTGCGGTATAAGTGCGGAACACACAGAATTCCAGCTGTTTGTTTACCGTTGTCATAGCAATGTTTTTTATTTTTGTTTTTTTTTTCTCTCTGGGAGAAAATTTAGGTTATGTTGTGTTGAAAATATGTGAAACTGTCATACCCACATATTGCCTATGTTTTGAGTTGCAGTATAAGTTCCGAAAATAGCTGGAATTCTGTTTGTTTATCGTTTATCATAGCGACGTGTTTTTTTATTTTGATTGTTTTTTTTTGTTTTGTAAACCTTCGGTAGAGATTCATGTGTTTCGTGCGATTATAAACAATAGATTGAATCAGCGCATGCCTTTCCGAGGAACTCATTTGATCCCGGCTTGAGACGAGTCGCAAGATGCGATTTCGACGTGAAGCAGAAAATTATAACCCTGCGTCCACGCACGTACGTTATCGCCAGCTTGGTGATTGGTGTGTAGCTTATTGCGAATGTGAATGTGATCCCGGCAGTAACGGTGGACGACGCATCGTGTGGACGCTAAAAGAGAAAACGTTTATTTTTTGTGTCCATTCGCGTCGCCGAACTGGACGCTCCTCGTTAGCGCATAGTGCGACTGCCATATTCACCAGGAGAGTCATCGATCGCTAATTAATGTGAATTTTTGGTTAATTAATGGGGTCCATTGTCGCTGGCTGTCGCTTCCGAAACGGAATGCGGTCTGGTAAAGTCAATGCAAAGTAAATGCAATGCGTTCTGTTTTTGGATGTCGCGCACGCCAAGAGAGCTTTTTGTATTTTAATGCGGATGGAAATCTAATTGCTGTTTAAAGCATCTGGAAGTAAGCAATCCAAACATGTGATACTTATGGTAATTTTATAGTTTTATAGTCGGCAATAAATTTTAACTGTGAAAAAATAAAATAAAAATGTGTTACCATTAAAAAACTAATAAGCAAACAATCAAGTAATCATAATTTAATGACTATTCATTTGCACTAGATGACTACATGTCTATATTCAATTGAAAATGTATATCCTGAATGGTTTTAACAAAAAAAAATGAATTGAATCGTTTCTAGAGCATGTACTGTAAATTATTTATTGAAAGATTTCAATTGAGTTCAAATTACGAGTAGTTTGTTGATTTTTGTACAATTTGGTTTGCTCTAGAAACATGCAACGTATTCGTACAGCATAAAAAAGAGAACAGGTGCGTGTACAATATTCAATATTCATTCAATTGTTAAATTTAGTCGAATTGGTATATAGAGCGACATCTGTCAGTCTATTTTGGTTCTAACATGGGAAGATATAGAATATCACTGATAAACTGTTTCCTGTTAAATCTAAGTCTCCATTTTAAGTATCAAGAACACAGAAATCCGAGGATCACATCACCCAATGGAAAATATTATGTAATATCAGTTTCTTATGTTATTTTAAGACATTTTTTAAGATGAAAATTAATTTTCTTTTGGTTTTTACTTAAATTTATAAAATTAACTGTTTTTTCTTTATTTCGGCAATAATTTTATTTACTTTTTTGCGTTTTTAAATTTACTCTACGCATAAAATTTAAAATTATACCTAAAAATGCAAAAATTAAAATAATTTCTTTAGATATCATAACTTTTAGAATCCGAATAAGTTTAATTTGAAAGTAAATGAAATGATTTCAATCATCCTCGAAATTTCTCCATTTCCGCACACTGGAAGCTATAGTTTTGATTTGCTGCCAGCACAGCATAAAACCACACTACGCATGTCCTCTCAACCTCCCAAGTCCGCAAAGGAGAGCATTCCATGTGTCCTTTCTGGCTGCGAGCGTCTCTCGCATTCATTCATTTCCATTGCGTCGCAGCGGACGTGGATATCGAGCGTCACGTCCACGCTTTGCTTGCGTCAACCGAGTAAAGTCAGGTCCCGAAATTACCTTTCTATATAGCAGGAGCACAGAAAGTGCGGTAGCCAGCAGGGGGGCCAATCAATGCCAACAGTACGCTATACTCCCACATTCAAAGTGTGAAGTGTGACGTTGAAATGCAAATCGTTAATCGTATTTATATTGTCAACAAGGCTACAATTCTTGAATTATTAAAGTAAAAAATTAATTTTTAGGGTTTTTAATTGTTGAAAATGTTTTTAAAAACGGTAAAAATTGAAATAAAACGTTTTTCTATTTTTACTTCAACTCGGTTTATTTATTTCTGTTTTTTATTACTTTATCTTTTTATTTACTTGTGTACAGTATGAAAAATATCAAAACCTGTGTCCTTAAAACTCAGCCGTACTGTAAAACACGATTTCAATTATTAGGATCACATAAAGTTATCTGATCCTCCGCTCGTAAATATATTTTCCCTACAAATACAACTTTTTCGCTGTTTCTCTTTATTTCCCATCGCGACCTACAAAATTTTACTGCAAATTTAATCCGTCGAGCAAGACATCAACTAAATTATTACCACATACTCTCGCACACCCAATGCCAATAAATAAACCGACAAATAGCCGAATAGCGCTTTTCACGTCATTTGTTCAGCAGCGCGCACCGCTATCGATTATATTCAGTATTCAGCCGCGTGCGTCGGCGATGAGAATCGGAGAAAGTAGCCGAAGCACAAGTAGTCGAAGTGATGGGGCAAAGATGTAAGTTTATTATGCCCGCATTGAAGCCAATCTTGTCGCGGGTCAGTATCCACGGGGACAGGTCAAACATCCATCGTAGCCAGTTTGTCAAAGCGGCGCTGACCGTTCTAACCGTTCCCGTAGTTACCGCGGAGAAAACACATTCTGCACGTTCCATATGGCAGTCGCGCGCAGAGAAGTAAATTGCGAGTCATCCACGGATCCACGCCGCTTTCCCATGAGTGCACTAACGCGGTCTTCAATTCTTTAGTTTACGGCGTCTGCGCTAAGTCGATGAAAAATTACCGTATTCGTATAAAATGTGCATTTATCAATGCGCTGACCATCTCTAATTCGCATAGTGTATATACGCAACGTGCAGCTGAGTTTTTTCTTCTTCTCTGCGTTCTGCGTAGAATTCGCAGTGGAGACTTTCCAAATGCACGCGTATAAGTAAGTATAATTTACTGCGTCGCCGAACCGGCTGAAGGGTTAAGAAAATTCTATGTGAATGTAGGTCCATGATCAGGCGTTTTGAAAAAGTAAAAATTAATATAAACGCGTTATGATGCAAAATGTGAAAATGTGAAAAGTCCGTTAGCAGGTAATTTTAACGACAATAATTGCACAGTTATAGAGATAATTTCTTAATTTGGCTATAAGTGACTTTTATTGTCTTTAAATCATGCCTTTTATTATGTTTTCCAGTCGTAATCGTAATGAAGTTGCGTCAAGGACGTTAAAAATTTAAATAATTAATATTAAACACACATAGTTTGTCTCTACAGAATAATATATATTTTCTTTGTAGGTTTTATGTTCTCCTGGTCATTACTGTGAGATTCACTCCTCGTATTCGTATGACATTCAGTCAGGGAATACGTAGACAGACTCGGGGACGGTTTCACCGGTTTCACTCAACTTTTGAACGGTAAAATCCGATTTTGAGTGCTAGGAGCACAGAATAAGCAGCTGGTAGAGATTCATGTAACAGTCTGGTTTAAATACGGTTGGTTCTCGTGATTCTCTCTCTCCTCGCTCGCTTTGCTTCTGCCCGCCTTGTTTCATCATCAAATTCTTCTATCAATAAAAGTCACAGTCAGGCAAGCACGCGTGATTGGATTACGAATATAATACCAAAATTACATTAAAATTAAAATACCAATGAGATTTTGTATATAATTTTAATTGTTGTTATATTAACAAGATTTTTTTATTTAATTTAATGTGTAAAAAGTATTAAAATTAAAGCGAGCAGGCAACACAGTCTCTAGTAAAGAATGAATGAATGAATGACATCAAGCAGACAAACATCTGTTCGAATCTTTCATCATATTCATTAGGAAAGCATAAATCGCAGAAGGTTTGGAGTTTTGATGTCCTAAATGTGCGGGACTAGGCGTTTAAATCCTCAAATTGCACACGAAATTATCAGGATTGTATCACGTGGAGTATGCAGTCCACCGTTCAATAAAAATACACAATACTTTCTTTCATAATCCTGCAGTAGCACAATCAGTGTCTAAAATAACAAGGAACGTATATTTTTAAAACCGTATCACGTCATGCATTAAAACAACGTTCCCGTTTGATGTCAGTTACAAGGAGAACATAAATTAATCATACAATCGTTTATATTTCTTAAAATATTAAAATTGCATTGCACCTTTCTTTATTTCATTCTTCATTTATATCTAACAGTAGTATTTAATTGATTTGCTTGTTGTTCCTATTGCTGTGCTTGTTGTTTGTAGTTTGTTGTCTTGTCGTGTTCGTTGTCGCTTTATTAAGAAGTACAAGAACCTCAACAACAAGCCAAACGTACCAAACAAGTTCGTCCAATCCGCCATTAACCGAGAGTTTATTTAAACGGTAAAAACTTGATTTTAATTATCAGGACCGCAGAGCCTGCGACTGGTTAAGGTCGCTTGCCGACAACTTCTCCGGCGTGCTTTCATTGGTCAATGTAATCAACTTCTTCAATTTAATTTAACTGATCTACTTAACTCGCCATACTAGAACATCAACAAACAACACTACTAAAATGTGTTTTATTATTGATCAAATACAAAGTAAAACGAATTCTATAGCATTTGTAACAGGATATCATAGTGTTAAATATTTCTAGACTGCTTGTACCGGGAGGACAGGTCATGAGACGCCATTTTTTGATTTTCCTAATAGGCGCTCAGAAATGACAACAAGAAAACCCGATAGACGAATTCAACGAACGAGTCACGCTCGTGAAAGCAGCC